CAAAACAACCAAAACAAACTTGTAGGGGCACCTGAGTGGCTCCATCGGTTAAGTGTCTGTCTTCAGCTCAGGTCATGATTTCAGGGTCCTGGGATCAAGTCCCACGTCGGGCTCCCTGCTCAATGGGGAGCCTGTTTCTCCCTCTCCCTCTGCCCCCACTGCTCATGCTCTCTCTCTTTCTATCCCCCCCCCCGAATAAATAAATAAAATCTTAAAAAAAAAAAAGAATCCTGTGAGTTGGAGGATTTACAATTTTCAATATCAAAACTTAGTACAAAGCTACAAGAATTAAGACTATGTAGTTTAGGCCTAAGGATGGGGGAAAGAATTTTTTCAACAAATGCTTCTGGGACAATGGCAGCCATATTTGAAAAGCTGAATCTGGACTCCTACACCACACAATACAAAAACACTAACTCAAAATAGGTCACAAACCTGATGTAAAACTTACAATTATATAACTTTCAGAAGAAAATATTTGTGATCTTGGGTTGGGCAAATATTTCTCAGATACAATGCCAAAAGCACAATCCATACAAGAAAAAAAATGAATTGTATACCTCAAAATAAAAAACTTATGCACTTCAAAAGACAGCATTAGGAAAATGAAAAGTAAGCCATAGACTCAGAGAAAATCTATGCAAATCTGATATCTCATAAAGGACTTAAATCCGAACTATATGAAGAATTCTTATCATTCAATAAGAAGAGAAATAATTATAAGATGGACAAAAGATTTGAATAGACATGTCACGAAAAAATGTGGTTAATAAGCCCACAAAAAGATGCTCAGTGTGATTAGTCATTAGGGAAATGTAAATCAAAACTAGAATGCGCTTCACATGCACTGAAACGACTATAATCAGAGAGGAACAAGTATGGTAGGGGATATGGAGACTTGGAATGCATCTACATTGCTAGCAGAAATGTAAAATGGTACAGCTACTTATGAAAACAGTTTGACAGTTTCTCTTAGAAGTTCAAAATGAATATACCATGTGACTCAGAAATTCTCCTCCCAGCAATTGGCTCAATGGAAATGAAAACATATCCACACACAGACTTGTAGGTATATGTTCATAACAGCTTTATTTAGAATAGCCCCAGACTGGAAACAATAAATGTCCATCAACGGGTGAAATGGATAAACAAAATATGGTTTATTTGTACAACCAAATAGCAGGCAGAAAAAAAAAATACTGATGCATGCTAAAATACAAACCACCAAAACTACTAAATGAGAGAAGCCAGATGCAAACATCGACATATTATATGAATCCATTTGTAGGAAATGTTCAGGTAAATGTCAGAGACAGCAGGTTGGTGGCTTCCTGGGGTTGGGCGTGAGGAGAGGGGGTGACCGCAGATGGGCACAGAGATCTTTTTGGGGTGAGGGAAATGATCTCAAATTGGGTTGTGGTGGTCATTGCCCAACTTTGTAGATTTAGTGAAGTATCACTGAATTATACCCTTGGAAGTGAGTGAAATTTATGGCACGTAAATTATTTCTTAATAAAACTGCTAATGATGAAATAGGTTTACTTTATATTATAGTACTAGCACACGGCCTTGAATAAATGATGGCATTGTTCTTTGAGGATATATTTTGTTTTCTGAGCTCAGACCTGTTGCCTCAGAGGCAACAAGGATGTCAATAAGGGCTAACAGCTAGCGTTTCCTGAGTACTCGCTGTGTTCCAGACTCTTAACTGTTTTCTGTATATTACCTCTTTCAACCCTCAACCATTTTTGGACACAGTAGTATTATGACTGATCACAGATCAGGAAATGGAACCTTTCTGGAGGTCAAGGGGCCAAGGTATGGGGAGTCATTTGCCTCCAACAGATCTAAGCTGTCCTAACCATCAAGAACCTTTAAGACCTAAGAATTTCTAGTCTGGTCATGGGGCTAGCTAATGGCTCTGGGCACCTCCTCCACTCTACATGTGGCCCTGCTGAAGACTTCCCTGTTTGAAACCTCGTGATTCTGGATTACCTGGCAGTGCTGCTCTGTGATGAGACTGTCGGCCACCATGACACTAATGGCCCACCTGACTCTGACTCATGTTTATCCTTGTTATAGGACTGAGCCCTCTTGACCCATGTTGGAGGATGGTGATGAGTGGCAGCTTCTGAACGCTGCCAGGGTGACTTCTGTGACTCGTGCCGATATTCTGGCACACCTCTGCCCTGAGAGTTCCCTGGAGGTCATGAAAACCTTCCCTCAGGATTTGCCCTCAGCCAGGACTCAGTAGGCCCATAGTCCATTCACTGTCATCCCTGGGCCACAGGGCAACCTCATTAGAGGAGGAAGAATCTTCTATCAGTTTAAATATTTTATCCTTTAGAGTTTAGCTCCTGGTGACACCCTAGGCTACAGAGTTGGAAGTGTCGGGCACAGTTTCAGTTGCTAACTGGGCTTTAAGTCCTTGGGCCCAAATCCCTCATACACTTTCTACCATATTGCTCAAGTCCTAGGATTCTCGGGGTTTCATTTGCTCCGACCATGAAGCACCGTGGCAAATGTTCTGTATCAGAGTCCTACTAGACATAGTTGAAACATAAAAAGGAATGTGTACTCAGGCAGTCCTGTGTGAGCTCAAGGAAGAGTGAAGGTCCCCCTCACATCCATCAGCTTTCAGACAAACTTATAGTCTGTGCACTCTTGTGCAGCTGACAATTTCCTACATCTTGTGTTTTGTCATTTCCATAAACTGCCTCAAATTTGCTCTACTCGTTTTCTTTGCTGAAGGTATCCCCCCTTCCCCACAGCCATGTCTGGATTCAATCCTCCCATCAATCACTACTTACCAAACACCTCCCATGCCAGGACCTGTGCTAGGAGCACAGGGGAGGCAGGGGAGCCTAAGAGGACTCCTTTCTTCTAGGATCTTTTGGGCCCATGGAGAGACAGGAGGCACATAGATGGAGAGAAAATTGATATTAGCGGAGATAGTGGAATGGGGAAGAGATAACCCCATATCACTGTTGAAACTCTGATTCTAGATTGCTTGGGCCAGGGTAACCATGGTTGAGGCCTAGTAGGGACCTGGACAAACTGCCACGGAGGCACCTCTAATGAGGCAGCCTCTAGGATGCTTGGCTCTGGTGGCTCTCCCAGAGTGGGAGGAGACAGTCAGAGCCTAGCTGGGGCTGCCTCTTGGGAGGCTGGTAAGTGGGCGACTCCAAGCTCCACAAAGCCAAAACAGCTCTGTCAACAGACAATCCAGAGCTCTCTATTGTCTTGACTGACATTGGGGGTTACCTCTGATTATCCAGCAGCCCACCTTCCCTCCGCCAAATTTGCTGAATTCCCAGGCCAGTTAATATGCTCCTGAGTAACTGAGAAATTAAAGTATATATTGAAGCCATTATGAGGCAAAAGTTAACTCAGGTCTCACTTCTTCCTTGAGCCAAATTCCAGTGTTAGATGGTCTCCTGGGTCTTTCCCCTGTTTTCTTTCCTTCTCCTCCTTCCATCATGTTATAGCTAAATCATGGGCTAACATGGCTTTTGGAGAAGGGAGGAGGCTATAACTGGTATCCTTTGGTCTCTGGAGGACGGGAGTGGCCAAGGAGGAGCCAGTGAGAGCGGGGGAGGTGGGGGAATGGGGGGTGGCCTCGTTCCTTCCCTGCTCTCAGCATGCAAACAGAGCTGGCTTGCTTTTTATCTTGATTATATCTATGCTAGACTTTAGCATTTGATTCCTTTTGAACAATGAGTCCTGCTGTTAAGCAAAAAAATACTGAAAACTACTGTTTTAAGAAAGCCCGTATTAAGTGCAATGCTGAACTAGTGATTTAAAAGAAGTTTGCTTAGGGACTTGAAATAATAATCCAGAGGAGCAAATTCCCTGTTAGTCCTGGACGTGCTCCAAGTTCATGCGCTCTTGACTCTGCGAAGTTCTATGAACTAGCTAGAACTTTATTTCAGCACACAGTTTTTAATCATGTCTCCAGACTGAGAAGAATGAAGTGGCATTCAGATTTAGGGAATTATAAAGATACATGTATTTAAGCTTTTGCATTGTTTGCATTTGCATTACGGATACAAAGCTTTTAGAATTATTTCTGGAATGCCCTTTTCCTAACACATACTTTTTCTTCCCATCTTCTAAAGATAACACTGAAAAATATTTTGCATCCAGGCTAGAAATTACTAAGAAGTTTTAAAGCGCCATAACTTCTGTTATTTTCCTCATATAGACTTTTTTGGGTACACTGAAGACTTTGTACCCCTCAGATGTTTTGTCATGAAACAGGGCTTCTGTGGATAAGCTTTGTTCACCATCTGCTTGCTTACAAAAGGTGGTAACTGGGAAGTAGGAAGAGCTGGAGCCAATAATTAAAAGCCAGGCGTCTCTGACTCCCTTGATTACCCTGATTCTAGAAGTTTCTTAACAGCTGGATTCCCAGGAACAAGGATTCTAGCCTTGCTGACTTCACAGGCTTGTTTTGAGTTGGAATGAATATTGCGGTGTGAAGGCTTTCTTCAAATGTCAAGAGCTGTACACGGTCCTGTCTCCTAAAGGGAACAGGGCTCTGCATTTCTCGCATGACAAGGACACTTGTTATCTAGACATCTTGACTTCATCTTTCAGTATGTTGAGATTTAGTCTTTTCGAAGAGAAAAAGAAAACCATAAAAGCTGTAGGACTTACTTGAGTGACTATAGAGGGATTTTTCATAATCTTTATATAAATGTCATTTTTAAAGAAAGAATGGATTGTCATGCTTACAATGTTTGTAACTTGAATTTTATTGTCCACTACCATGCTATTACTGTCGTATACAGATTTGGCATTTATATTTTCAGTCCACAGAATTTCGTATTCCTTTATTATATTAACAACAGAGGTATTACAGAGAAGAATGTCACAACAGTAATGTTTTATATCTTCTTGATCTTGTTCATGTCCATGAAGTAGTTAACATTAACAGGAAAGCTTTAATCTCTGGCTGGCACATATATGTTAAGTGTGTAAATAGCTCGTTCATGTCTCATTGTGTTAAAACAGAGACATTACAAGGATGAACGCGAAACCAGTAAAGCTGTACTGTTTTTTTTTTCCTAAAAGAAATTTTAGGATGTTGACAAAGCTCAAAATAATGTCTTTTCATTCTTAAAAATCCTCGAGTTTCCAGACCTAGAACAAGTGAGCTGTGCTCGATGCGTTGGTATTTGGAAGGTGGCATTCCCTTTCCCTCATTTTGTGTTGTTACAGGTGAAATGGGTTTTCAGTATACACTATTCAAGTGGGGGAAAAGCCCCATATTGAATTCCACAATATTCCTTAGACTGGGAAACGAATCTCTTTTGGAGTAGTCAACGTTTATTTTCTCGTTACTCTGCAGCAGAACAATTTACTATGTAAATGTAGAAATACAAACAGCTTTATCGAACAAAATATTTTCTAGCTGCCTAACAGAAATGATTTCTTAGAAAACGGAACAAAATTTCTCAGTTTCATTATTCAGCTTTGTAAATATTTTGCCAGAGCTTTTTTTTCTTGGGGTGGGGGAAGCAAATAAAAGAATTTAAAAGCTCATATGTGTCGATTTTGTTTTAGCTTGGTGTATTTATTAAGAGTAAATTCTGTATGTCTTTGCAGTTCATCAATATGCGTATTTAGAAGTTTCTCAAATTCTTTTGCTCGTTTCTCTTCCTCCAGAAGGAAATGCTGTGCAGCCAGAGAGGCTGGGAAGACTATATCTGGGGGAGACTAAAGACAGAAAGAAATGTTAGATGAGGAACACAAAGCCTTCTAAACCTTCCTGTTTCCAGACATGCTTCATCCCTGGCATGGTCGAAGGGCAACTCTCAGGGAGATAATCCACGTTAAACTCTCTCTGCTTTGTAATACAGGGACTGCTCGGGAAATCCTGACGGAACGAAAACATCACAGCACCATTATATTCCAAAGCTCTAGAAATGAATATTACTGTGTCCAACTGCAAAAGCAGGGACAACATGGAACTTGCCTGAAACATACTTGACTAATTTGTCAAACCGAGGTTACTCACCTGAAAATAGGCAACTCCAAAAAGCTAAAATGAAGATTATAGTAGACTCGGACAAGGAAAGCTTAATAGGAAAAAAAAAAAATTAAGGATTGGAGGAAAAAGGGAGCTAATTGCTGTCTGGAGTTGGCCAGGTGGGGAGGGCTGGCAGCATGGTGCATGTCGCCGTACGAGAAGCTTCCTCATGGGGAAGGCCCTAATGCTGGAAAGCAGCTCGTTTGTCCAATTAGAGCTGACAAAGCCATAGTCGTGAGCGCCCAGTTACACACTTTGTGGTAATATGGGAGTGTTCATTTAATTCTTTGTGACCTGTGAAGTCCTAATTTATACCAAATGACTTAGCAGATCCCATACTAGAGGAGTCTCTGATAGAAAAAAAAAATGCCTTGTGTAGCCTCAGGTGAGTTTAGTAGGCAAGTTGCATTGAAGGCCTTTAAGATTCTGGAACAAGGCCAGAAAACTCTATACTAGTCAAAAAACAGTTTCTGTAATGCTGCTGAGCCCTGGTTGAGGTAGAGCATCTAAGAAGTGGACAGGATGACTGGATCGAGCTCTGTCCTTAGCCACTCTAGTGGAAATTACAGGTGGGTCCAATGATGCGGTCTGCCTTTCACCTAGGTTAAGTAAGCTAGCTGTTGCCGTTGAGTATCTCATCTGCTTGGAACAGAGACCAAAGCTGAGGAATTCCTAACAGGGCAGCATCTCTCAAGGACACCAACAAGCCTCTTGGCAATCAGTTTACACAGGGTCCCTTACACCTTGGAAAGGGCAATGTTTCATCCTTACCAGCACTGACATGTATTCTATGGTTTGCTTTTCCTGCCCAAAGGACCTTGGCCTTGACCACTACCTGAGAACTCACAGAGAGACCTATTTCCTGATGTCGGATCCTGATTAATACTAAAGGAACCTAATTTGCAGCAGAGGAGTATGTCAGTGGGGCATGACCTTGGCATTCATTGGACTTCCTGCATACAACACCACCTAGAGGATGCTGGCCTGATAAGACTTCTTGAAGGCAGGGCTGGGGCATTAGCTGGGAAATTATACCATGAGGATGGGGTACCCTTCTCCGGGATATGGTGTAGACAGTCAACCAATGGCTATTACACGCTACTGTGTTTCCAACAGGTAGAACACAGGAATCTGGGAACAGAAGGGAAGATGGAGGAATGGCTCCACTCTCTGTCATTTCTGTTGACCCACTTGGAGAATTCGGACCTTCTGTCTTTGTATCTTGAGTATCAAGGTGGTTGGTCTCAGAGAGGAAAATGCTGCCAACAAGAGACCTGTAAGACTCTCACTAAACTTAAAGCATTGTCCGCCACCTAGGCACCTTGGGCACCTCGTTCCGACAGAGCAGAGGCTCAGAAAAGAGGTAGTACCCCAGCAGAGGTAACCTGGCCCTAATCACCACAGAGACTACTGCTACATGGGGCACCTGGGTGCTGAGTCCATTAAGTGTCTGCCTTCGGCTCAGGTCATAATCCCGGGGTCCCAGGATTGAGCCCCACGTTGGGCTACCTGCTCAGCGGGGAGTCTGCTTCTCCCTCTCCCTCTGCTGCTTCCCCTGCTTGTGGGTATGCTCTCTCTTTCTCGCTCTCTCTTTGTCAAATAAATAATGAAAATCTTAGATAAAAAAGACTATTGCTACATAACAGAGGTGGTAAGGAACATGTCTGATATTCAAATGAGCCACGGAGATTTCTTTTAATACCCTCGTGCCCACTTTTAACTGTAAGTAAACCACATCCTGGCAAGGGCATGGGCGTCTAGAATGGGTGAAGAGATGATGACTAGCAGTCAAGCCCTTGAGACCAGTTGCAGCATCAAGGCCTGTATTTTGTTGCACTAACCCTCCTCTTAAGCTTTCCCAGAAATTACGGCCAGCCAGAAGCTTGGAGAAGGTAGGCCTGAATGGAATGAACAATAGGAAGAGAATATGATCTGAGTGGTTCAAGAGGCATATGGTAGCAGAAGCTGTTGGTGCCCTATGAGGATTCCCTTCAATGGGCTAGTACATCCATTCCCCAGCTGCTGTGGGTGTTGCTTCTCTGGAAACCTACCCACAGCTGGGAAGGAGCCTCCTGCCTCATTCAAGAAGTTGCAGTAGCCCCTTCAGCCCATTCCCTCTCCTCCCAGAGGCAAGGACTGATGGACACAAGGCACAGAACGCCCGACTTCCTGTCTCCAGGGGAACCTACTCTGTCGTGCAAGTCAAGCTCCAAGCTCCTGGTGAGACCAGGCCAAGCTAAGCTCTTGCTGAGACCTCGCCCTTGTTTAGCTTTTCTCCCCTCCCTTAGACTGCTTCCCTGACTCTCCTTCTGTCGAGAATACGACCTTCAGTAAATCACTTTCATAAGAATCTCCATCTCAGAGTCTAGGAAACCTGATCTCAGACGGGCGACTTCCTAACTTCTGGCTTGACTGATGAGTGGGTGACATCAATGCCATTTACTGAGAAAAAATAAAACAGTAAAAGGGGCCCATTAGGGTTAAGGTCTTTCTTATTTTCGATTCCCCAGGTTCTAGCACAGATTTGGGCAGAGTATATTTTAAACAAAATTTTTAGATTAACATATGAACTGAGTAAGTGCATTTGATTTTAAATAATGCTGAATTAGAGGTGACGTGGGACTCAGATTGTCACGTAGAAGATGCAATAGGTGATCAGTCCAGATCTCTAAAGATAGGTCTGGATCAGAGATATTTCAAAGTTATAGATAATTAAAGCCCTGAGTCTGATTGAAGTCATCGAAGACATGCAAATAAAAAAAAGCAGTTCAAAAATGGGATCTTGGAGAGAACTTCATTTCAGGCCCCCATCCCATGTTCATGTTCTCTACCTTGTCAGCAATGATAACCACATTATTTATTAATGAAGATTTTCAGCAACCCGTCTGCTATCCTTCCAGCTTAGTCTAGTATTCCCACTTTGTCACGTCACTCATCCCCTTCTAACTCTGCTTATATTCCAGATCCATCCTTATAACCATTCAGAAACTTGTCCCCCATCCTCCCCGCCCCCTGCCCGTATCCTGTCTCTGTCCTAGGGACTGGGTAAAACCCAGGCCTAAATAAACAGCCTGAGCCATGCCTGCACCTGAGGGGCAGGTAGATGGGCAGGTGGGGATTATATCACTTCGGGGACTGATTGCACTTGGAGTGCATGACCACAAATGTCAGATGGTTAGTTAACACCGCCTGACCGTCCTACTGTCCTTCCCTGGGATATTCACTTTCTCACTCATCACCTGGTGCCTCCTTCTCAGGAGGGAGCTCCCTCATCTCTCCACACCCTTTTGCACCTCTAGCCATATTTTAGGCCATACTCAGTTTCAGAGACTCTTACTTCTACCTCTACTGTGGATTCTATTCCTTCGTATCTTGTCGGTGGCTGTTTCTGCAAATGAACCTTGTTGCTCATGGGTCCCACCTCCTTTGCCATCAATTTTTCCTCCTCTCCTTCAAGATTCTCATTGAACCACTAAGTGTTATGGTCTGAGGCTTTGTCTTAGGACAGTTTCCCCATTTATACCCTGCAAAGTATTCTCATCCAGCCCTACAGATTTAAATGCCAGCCATGTGCTGATTACTCCCATATTTTGTTTCCAGCTCTGATCTCTTGCTGGAATACCAGAGTCCCATATCCCAACACCTATCTGATATCCCCATTGCATGTCTAATAAACATTTTGAATGTAAGTGCCCTATCTAGAAATCATGGCTTTATCTCACCCTGCTCCTTCCCCTTGTCTTTTATGTCTGCACATGGCACTAGCATCCATCCCGTGCTCAGGATGCCATCCTAGGAGTCATCTCAGAGTCCTCTCTTTCCCTCACCCCTCAGAGCCAACCGCCTGTCAGTCGGGTGTGCTCTCCACCACATTTCCCAGATCCCAGATGTTTCTCTCTCTCCACCATAACCAAGCCAGCACCGTCATCTCTTGCCTTGACTACTGAAATAGCCTGAAAATTGTTCTCCCCATTCCTACATTTGCCCCTCTATAATTTATTATTTATTTGGCAATCAAGAGGGTCTTCTTAAAAGACATTTTAAAAACAAAACTCAAATTCCTTCCCTTGGCCTATAGTCTCTACAGATCTTTTCTTCTGAATACTTCTCTGTCCCCATTTCATTCCACCCTCTCTCTCCTCCTAGGTCCAGACTCTTCCACCCACTCCTTGACTGGTTCTCAAACTTAACAAACTTGATCTTGCCTTACAGATCTGCACCAGGGACTCCCTCTGCCTGCAGACCTCCTCCTCCAGATCTTTAGATCATTTGTTGTTGTTGTTGTTAATTTAGGTCTCAACTTAATTTAGGTCCCCTCAGTGTCCCCTCTGCATTTTCCAGGCCATGTAACTGAAAGTAATCTCTCACACTCCTGTTACTTCCTGTCACATCACTGGCTTCTCTTTTTGTCATACAATTTATCACTATTTGATTTTTTTTATATTCCTTTGTTTCCAGTCATTAATTGTCCTCACCCTTTTTTGAGGTAAAATGCACATCAAATAAAACCATTTTAAAATGAATCACTCAGTGGCCTTTACAATTTACATTCACAATGTTATGCAACAACCATCTCTTTCTGGTTCCAAAATAGTTTCATCCTCCTGACAGGAAACTCAACCCATTAAGCCACTGATTCCCATTCCCCGCTCCCCTTGCTACCCTTGGTAACCACCAATCTGCATCCTGTTTCTATGATTCACCTAATCTCAGCCCTTCATATAGGTGGAATCATAAAATATATGATCTTTTGGGGCCAATTGCTCTCACTTAGCCTAGTGTTTTGAGGGTTCACCCAACACATTGTAGTATGTATCACTACTTCACTCCTTTTTATGGCTGAACAGTATTCCACTGTGTATCTGGAACACTATTTGTTAATCCATTCATCCATTTTTTGGCAGGGTGGGGGGCGTTACTCTCTTTTGCCAGACTGTAGACCTGTCTCATCAAAGATGTGTTTAGAACAGAACCTGCCATACACTTGATGCTTATAATATATGCGTATTTTATGACTGAATGATGAACATTAATATTTAAGGGAGATGTATAGGAGGCAGAAGCTTGGAAGCAGACTGGGAAAAAGGAATTGGAAAGACAGCAGGAAAATCAGTGAAGAATAGGGTCATAGAAGCCAGAGGACATGAGAGTTTCAAGAAAAAATGATGAAGGGAGATGAGTTTTTTTCCCCCCCAAAGATTTAATTTATTTATTAGACAGACAGAGATCACAAGTAGGCAGAGAGGCAGGCAGAGAGAGAGAGGAGGAAGCAGGCTCCCTGCGGAGCAGAGAGCCCGATGTGGGGCTTGATCCCAGGACCCTGGGATCATGACCTGAGCCGAAGGCAGAGGCTTTAACCCACTGAGCCACCCAGGTGCCCCAGGAGATGAGTTCTTAAAGGCATATTTAATTAGCAGCTAGAAGATTCCTGATGGTCTTGGAAGGAACAGAATTGACGTAGAAGTTAAAATGCAGATGTGTGTGTCGGGGGGAGGAACCACTGGACCCAGAAGAGTGGACTGGGCTGTGTCTTTCAGGGAACATCACAGATTAAGTTCCCCATGCCCAGACTTAAAACAGTAGAGAATTTTCTTTCCTGCTGACTGTGGAGCTAGGAATTTCCTCAAAGGATTAACATGGAATTTTAGAGACAGAAGAAAGCCCAGTGCTTATTAAGTTAATAAAACAGATGATCTCATATGCTTTTTATGTGCCTACTAGTGCTACACACTATTTTAGGTGCAGGGGTTACAATGGTAAACAAAGAAAAAATCCCTACTTTCATGGAGCTTAAATTCTAAAGGAGGGAGGCAAACACACAAGCAGACGTAAAATGTCTTATGGTGAAGTGCTATGAACAAAACCAATACCAGGACGAGGGGTCAGGGAATAAAGAGGGAAGTGCTCTGGTTGGTTGGTTGCCCAGGCCGCTCGGATGAGGTGATATTTGAGAAGAAATGAACGATCCTACAATGCTAACAACTGCTGACATTAGAACATTTAGCAATTCATCATGTTTGCTTTCCCTGGGGTAATGCTTACTTTGGAGTCCTTAAAGATCCAAATTTTGTTGATACAGAATTTGCTAAATCCCCTTAGTGGTTCCCGTAGCTTAAATCAGGAAGTTTAGTGTCTTTGTCGATATGAGATTTTATTCTGTTCAAACAATTCTGGCATTTTAGGTAGACGTGAACACAGAAGAGCATTTCAAGGCTTCAAGAGTTAATGGTTTTAAGTCTTCTCTTTCCATTAGAGCTTAAATCTTGCTTCCAAAAGAAGGGGATAGATTCCAGAAAAGTACTCATGGGATACCCATCCAGTTTAAACATTTTCTGTTGTAGCCATTGTTTATAATTTGTGTCCAATATGAGTATATCATGGGGAGGTGCTGAAAAATTACATAATACACTTTGAATACAAGTGAACGCAATTGGTAAAAGTAATACTAGTTACTTTCTGAGGTAAATACCTACTTTAAGAAACCCCGTGATTATTATGTTCAAGAAATTAAATCATAAGGCAGAAAATTTCAGCACAGAACTAGAAAATGTAAAAAAGAATCAAACGAAAATTCAAGACTTGAAAAATAAAAGACTGAAATCAACCTATCGGAGACCATTTTCTTGAGACAGGGAGAGGTGGCTCTTTTATGTATAGAAACCAATGCAGAAAGTCAAGGAAAATGAAGAAATAGAAGAATATGAAATTAAGAACCTTTCCCCCTGTTTTATGAGGTCAGCATAATGCTGACAAGGACAGCAAAGGAATATACAGGCTAATTTCTCTAGTGAACACAAAGCAAAAATTCTAAGCCAATATGAACAGACCAAATACAGTAATCAAGTGGAGTTTATTCCAAGAATTCGAGGTTGGGTTAACAAGAAAAGATATCATACTAACCAAACAGAAGAGAAAAATTATATGGTCATTTATTTTATTTTCTTTCGGTCATTTCAAAAGAAGCAGTAAAAACATTTGATAAAATTCCATATTAATTCGTGAACAAAGTTCGCAATCTAGGAATAAAAGGGAATTTCCATAATCTTTTCGAAGGAATCTATAAAATACCTATAGAAATATCATACATAATGGTGGACTACTGAAAGCTTTCTCTTTTCAACTGAGAATGAGAGAAGGATACTGTCTGTACCACTTCTCCTACTCAACATTTACTGGAGGAGGCCTTAGAATAATAAAGTGAGAAAAAAGGTATAAAGATATGAAAGTAGAAAACAAACTGTCATTAGTTTGATTCTGGATACAGAAAATTCAATAGCATCTACAGGAATGGAAAACATGTGCAAATTCAATTGAATATTTTCATGGGAAAAGGGTTTGAGAATACTACCTTGCACCATATGCAAAAATTGATTTCAGGTGTAAATGTAAATATGAAAGGTAAAGAGCCAAAGGTTCTAGAAGATAATATTTTTATAACTTTGGGACAAGCCAAGTTTTAAATAGGATACCAAAAATGTTAACCATAGAAGTTTGAGTGTATTAAAATTAGGAACTTCTGGTTACCAAAAGATATTATTAAGTGAAGAAACAAGTAAGAGTAGGAGAAGATATCTGAAATTTATATAACCAACAAAGGGCTTATATCCAGAATATAGAAGGAACTCCTACAAATCAATGAGAATAAAGGTGGTCCAACAGGAAGTTGGGCGAGGAAATTGAACAGACATTTTACAAAGGAGAATACCAAAATGGCCAGTAAATACATGAAAAGGAGCTCAGCTTCATTATTCACCAGACACATAACTAAAACCGCAATAGGAAGTTACTACACACTGACCAGGAATACTAAAATTAAAAAGACTGATAATACCAAGTGTTGGAAAGAATATATAACAGGAACACTCATATACTACTTATCGGGGTATTAACTGGCTCAAACAATTAGGAAAACCAGGTGGCATTCCCTCCTAAAGCTGACCTTATGAATACCCCCTGACCCAGCAATTCCACTCTCGGGAATATGCACAATGGAAACGTGTACACATGTGCACCAAAAACACATGTGAGAATGTATTTAGCAGTATTATTTGTAATATTCCCAAGCAGGAAATAACTCAAATGCATGCCAACAGCAAAATGGATAAATTGTAGTCTTCTCCCACGTAGCATTTATGTACAATGGACTACTATAGTGAAACCAAAATAGATCAACTACAGCCATAGAAAACAATGTGGATGATGGACCTCAGAAGTAATGTTGAGTAAAAGAAGCCAGACATAAAGAACACATATAGTATGATACCATTTACATAAAATTTACAAAAGGCCACAACTAATTCGTGACATTGAAAGTCAGGGTAGTGGTTACCTTAGGAGCAAATGGAAGGGGTGACTGGAATGGAATGCGAGAGGTGCTTCCCGAGTGTCACCAATGTTCTGTTTGTTACTTGCATGCTAGTTACACGGATGTTCCCTCTGTGATAACTCATCAAGCTGTCCAATTCTGATTGTGCATATTTCTGTATGTATGTCAGAGTGAATAAAAAGATTTTTTTTTTTAAACAGGCATAAAGGGATGCCTGGGTGGCTCAGACGGTTAAGTGTGTGCCTTCGGCTCAGGTCATGATCCCAGGGTCCTAGGATTGAGTCCCACATCGGGCTCCCAGCTCAGCAGAGAGTCTGTTTCTCCCTCTCCCTCTACCTCTCCCCCTGCTTTTGCTCTTTCTCTCTCTCAAATGAATAAATAAAATATCTAAAAAAGAAAAAAATTTAAAAAGAAAAAAAATAAAACTGGCATAAAAGATCATTTGTTGCTCTTTAAAATAGGCAGATCATTGAGGGCTCATGGAGTATCAAAGGATGAGTCCTAAGCATTTGAATTTTTAAAAATTTGAATTTTTAAAATTTTAAAATTTTCACCAGTAATTCTGGCCTGCACTAGAGGGTAATAGCCAGAGACAGAAACACTTCATGGAACATTATGGATCTCTTTTCCTTCTAAGGAAAGGCATGGCCAGATGACTCGCAGACCCACCTTGGAGTCCAATCCAAGGAGCAACTTTTTTTTTTTAATGTGTACATCAGTATATAGGTATCAGTGTAAGAGTAATCACTCCCTAAAGGAAAAAAACAAGCCACTCACCAATGGGAACACTTCATCGTCACTAACCAGGGGACTTGTCATTTCTTTGGTTTGAAATGGCAAAGGTGGTAGAGGAGGTGTCACACTTCGGTTTGGCTCACGATCTTGGCTAAGTCTAGAAGAGAAGGATGGTCCTCGTTTACTGCTATGCCAAGGACACTGCTTATTCTCGCGGCTAAGGATCTAAGTTTCTCCGATGTCTAAATGTGGTGGCTGGGCGGGGGGAAGCACAAAAACTTTGGGCTTCTTATCTCGGTATCTCATTGAAAATCATCTTCCTGATGAGTCATTTCTAATGATTAATAGTGAACCGGAAACTTAGTAATTGTTAAAAATATTCTTCTATTCTTATTGCCTGGATTGCAGGCAATAAGAAACACAGTAACACGATTTCTGTGTTTTACTTTTGGGTGTCTTTGCCATTTAATTCAATAACATGATACCAGTTTGGGAAGAATCTCAGAACAGCTCACACTGATGCCCTTGACAATTCTAAATAATCCTCTTTTTGTATTCTCTATTTCACTTAACCTTGCTGGCTTTCTTAAGAGAATTATGCTGCTTTTTTTTAATGCTAAAATAAGTCCTTGTACAATACTAATTTCTACAGGGCTTAATAATTTGCAACATTTTGCTGTGCCTGGGTGGCTCAGTCAGTTAAGTGTCTGCCTTCAGCTCAGATCAGGATCCGGGGGTCCTGGGATCAAGTCCTGAGCTGGGCTCTCTGCCCAGCAAGAAGTCTGCTTCTCCCTCTGCCCCTCCCTCCTGCTCATGCATTTTCTCTATTTCTCTCAATAAAATCATTAAAAAAGAAGAATTTGTAACATTTTTTCAATTTGTATCATCTCCTAAATTCTTCCACACTTAGTAGTTTTATGACCTTGACCAGGAAATTATGTCTTTCTGGGACTTTAATTTTTTCTTTGATAAAAAGTGGGTTGTTGGGAGAAATGAACTCCACAATTGGGATGAAATGTACAGTACAGAATTGGTTGTTTGTACTAAAATAGAAGGTAGAAGACTGAATAAAAAAACCAGTGAGATTTTAAATTTTGGTATGCTGACTAAACAAAGGAAGAACAAAGCAAAAAACCGAACCAATTTCCCATAAAATTTTACATAAAGAGGTCCTAACAATATGAGCTATTTGGGACCAAATAAATGTCTTTCTGAACATTAATTCATGAAATTGGGGTTGAATTCAATCAAAATCATCAAAGCCCATGAAAACATAAGAATCCCTTCAACTTAAGATTATTTATTCATTTTTACTGATTATTCAAATTCTCCACAGGTATTGATTTACCATTTTCAAAGCCTTCATATTTTAATTTCCTGCAGTTGCAAAAAATTCACATTACTGTTCTCTGTTCTTATCCAAAGACTATCTGTCTATACAGGCTTTTTTCCTATCATGTAAACATTTTCAAAGTGGTGCATACAAGTAACAATAAAAGTTAAGTGAGACATCTGTAAATTAGGACATAAAAACAAACACAACATGTTTTCCATTTTTACTGATCTTGAAATATATCCTTTTTAAAAATCCATTCTTCCAAACCATAATTACCATGGAAACAGAACAGCAAATTAAACTGAAATAACGTGGTTTATGATGTGCACGATAAGATGAAACAGCCCACAATTTGGATAGAATTATAACAATTGCAGGGTACATCTGCACAGAGTCTGCAGCCGAACCTTTTAATTGAGTGAGGGTAACATCTACACGTCAAAGCACAGTGGGAAAAAATAAGATAATTATAGAAGGGACTCAAGAAATATATATCTCTTCATAATCTCAATTATACAAAGATTTCAGGGAAAGTATTTGTCCTAAATATTCTATAGAAGTATCTCGATAACCCCTTTTGCTTTGGATGTATCGATACAGTTTTACAGTGTTAATTCCTGAAACTTATAGGTGAACATGCCTTTTACTGTAAGATCCATAAAATATAGAGATTGAAAGGAAAGACTACATTATGGAGTAAAATCCTTTTGCTTTAAGTCGTCTTTATATCTGAAAAGTTCTTCTTCTAAAATGCAGCTATTCAAATACTTCATAAAACCGTCTTGCAAAAAATGCTCAGTCTATCAATTTAAAAGCTTTCTTAAAAGTTATTTCTGAAGGCTTTTATTTCCTTCTCACAAGCTGGTCTTTTCAGTTAGCTTTTCCATAGGCCCTCATCCAAGGCCTCTGCCTGCTTAGGCCAGGAGGACAGGACCCAGTTGTTGGTGGGAGCAGAGCTCTGCCTCTGAGGCCATGGAGTCAGCTGTCCACAGTTTTCAGAGTTGTCTGACTGGACATCTATTCCTGGTCCTCTGTTAGTTTTCCCTGGGCTACAGGATAATATTCTTAGCATGAACAGGTTCCCTTTACAAGTGCTAATTTGCCTGCTTCCAGCCTTGCCTTCTAGCACTCCACGTGATGCTCCCCGTTCCACGAACTACTCATTATTTCCTGGCCCACAACTGTTCAGCCTGCTATGTTTTGCTCCTTATTCAGTAACACCTTGGTGCAAAATTTTCTCAATTTACTTTTTTGGCTTCTGAATGACTATTCATCCCTTGACAAGGGACTCTGTGAGAGTGGTTACGACAAACCCACCAACTTTGGTTTTCTTAATATTAGAATCTTTTTTATTTCTTAAGTAGATTTGAAGCAATTTTAATGATTAATATTTATGATCACTAAACTCCCTCCTCTACATGATGTAGCCTTTAAAACTTTACATTGACTTTTAAGTACGTATTGTATATAGAGATGAAACCCCTTTTATTACAAAATTGAGGTGTCATTAAAATTAGTCATGTTAATCGCTCTGGATACCACTATTCAAAATTAGCTTGTAAATTACCCTTAAACTTCAAAACTCTAACTTTTAAAAACTTTAAAAATATTCAATATATCCTCACAAAATTCAATTATATCTTATTCATAATTTTTTAAAGTGCTGAATAACTTTCTTATCAGAAAGCAACTCTGTTGGAATATCCTAAAATGCTTTGCATTTTAAGTGGATGAGCATGAAGAACTTCTTATTCTAATAGGAATGAAAAAAAATTGGGTTACTTCTGAGTGGATAAAAGATTATTTAAAAATGTATTATGTGAAATACGTCAATCAGAGAAAGACAATTACCATATGATTTCACTCATATGTGGAATTTTTTAAAAAGATTTTATTTATTTATTTGACAGAGAGAGAGATCACAAGTAGGGACAGAGGTGGGCAGAGAGGGAGTGGGAAGCAAGCTCCCCACTGAGCAGAGAGCCTGATGCGGGGCTCGATCCCAGGACCCTGAGATCATGACCTGAGCCGAAGGCAGAGGCTTAACCCAATGAACCACCCAGGCACCCCACTTATGTGTGGAATTTAAGGAACAAAACAGAGGATCACAAGGAAAGGGAGGGAAAAATAAAATAAGATGAAATCAGTGAGGGAGACAAACCATAGGAAACAGACTGAGAGTTGCCAGAGGGGTGGGGGGCTGGGGTAACTGGGTGATGGGCATTGAAGAGGGCATGTGATGTGAGCACTGGGTGCTGTATGCAACTGATGAATCCCTGAACTCTGCTTCTGAAACTAATAATACACTATATGTTAATTAATCCAATTTAAATAAAATAAAAAAAATAAAAAAATGTACTATGCCAATCTTCCACAGCTAAAAGGAGGAAGCAGCTAAAAATCAGACTTAAAAATTTTGTGGGGGACGTCTGGGTGACTCAATCGGTTAAGCATCTCCCTTTGGCTCAGGTCATCATCCCAGGGTCCTGGCATGGAGTTCCGCATCAGGCTCCCTGCTCAGCGGGGAGTCTGCTGCTCCCTCTGCCTGCTGCTCCCCTTGCTTGTGCGCTCTCTCTGACAAATAAATCAATAAAGTCTTTTAAAAATTTTTTTGTGGAATACTTTCTTCATATACTTGTACCTAAAAGCTTTCTCCTTTCTAAAATAGTTTAATGAGACCTCACCGCATTAGCCATTGCTATGTAAATATGACTCAGTGTTTTCTGATGATTTTTATGTCTCACGAGTACATAGAGCTTTTGCTATTTGGCTTCACTGAGCTGTGCTGTGAGGGAAAGAAGGAACATTTCATTTTTCACTTGCTAAAATTAATAGACATGTACTTTACAGCTCTCTACTGCTGAGCCCGCTGTCCTTGCAACTCAACAACGCTTTCCCCATAGTGGGTTCTACATGGTAATAATTTATTCAGAACATTTGAAATGCTGTTTCTTTTAAAAATCAGGTCACTGGAGAACACTGAAATCAGACAAGGCATTAAAACTAATTTAATGAAACTTTCAACAGATGAGGCTGGCAGGACACAAGGGTCTGCAGCAGAAATAGTAGGTCCAAACCGCTTATTAAGATAATCTCCTGCTGAGCACTTTACCTCGTGTTGCTTTCTGTATCCCCTACTATCTTATTTTTGTTAGGCGCTTTTAACACATTCTGTGCTGTCTAACAAAGCAAAAAGGGGGCAATCCAAACAATAAAATTACTTCTTTAAAAATAATAAAAGGCAAAGTAACTGTCTTTTAAATAACAACTCCTGGTACTGTCATCTAAGGCTTTCAGAGTTATTCCCAACAAGCAAGACCAGGAAACAGTGTTCTGCCCCTAATGGGGGCTCCATCCAGGTCAGTTCTGGCTAAGATCCACAGGAAGACCCTTTATCATATCTTTAGGGGTTTGCTTTTCTCTTGCCAAGGGGGAAAAAAAAAGTATACATGGGTTTGTGATTTGACCCACTGAGAAATCTGTATAGTAGGGGAGCACTTCAAGAAGGGTTTATTCCATATTAGAAAATATACTTTTGTGCCACAATCAAAATGAGACCCCTTTTGGACAGACTTTCGATTCTACTGGCCAGCACATGGGCACATTCACCAGAGAACTGGCCCACAGTCATGTCTCAGTGATCTGTTCCATTTATCTGCACCCCCGCCCCCAGGTCCCCAACCTCTGCCCTGACCAGCATCCTGCCATCAATTTTTTTTTTTTTTTTTTTGGGTAGCAGCCAGTCTGTCCTCATTTCCTTCCTGAACTACTTAAAGTCTATTAATTTAGCACTTTTGAAAGGTGGCCATTTCTTGCATCCGATTAGGACATATCCTCTAACATGTACAGGGATGAGGTGATACCAGTAGGAGAGACATACACAACATCCACAAGAATGTTGAACAGACATATTTTTTGGTATGTCCCATGGATTTATGCATTTATCCACCTGTAGAACTGGGCATGCTTAGTTACAAGGATGAGCCTGGCTTCACCCCTCCTTCACCCCACCTATCTCTGAGGAAATGTCAGATTCAGCCATTTGGCCATCAACACCAACTTTTTAGGCACTGTGAGTTGTTGAAGAAGTATTCATATTATTCTAAAGGCTAACAATTTTGTTAGTAATAATAATATCAATAAGAATAGCTAACATTTATGGAAATACTTGTTTTACATGGAACTATGTGTTCTTCTCCAATTCTTGCAAAGAAACTTACAATTATTATCCCTATTTATTGATTGGAAATTGAGGATAACAAAGTTTCCATAAATTTCCCAAGGTTGTAAATATTATGTTATATGAAGACAGTATGTGAGGTCTTCCTGCTAAGTACTATGAGTTCTTGAGCTAAAATTGTATTGAAGTTTGGTCCTATCAATTCACCATTTTGTGGCACCACAAAATGTTAATAAATCTGATATTAAATGAGTTTGGGGAGTGTTGCACACTACACCCCTTCTTGACCCTCACAATGTACACTAGCATATTAATAACTCAGAGCTGTCCTGTGAGAAAAAAAGCTTGTTTATTTTGCTGAGAATTTTCCAAATCTGGAGAAAGACAAAAAAGTCTCCAGAGACAGATTTGATTCCATAAATATTTTATTAAAGTTGAATAAATTAGTCTGATTTTATAGTTGACATATTTACTTAAATTCTGAACTAAGGCACTTTAAAAGGGATCCTGTGGCTAGCAGATATTAATTCCCCATATGCTTCTCTTCACTCAGGGGAAACCTCCTACCCATTGTCCAATTCTTTCCCTAGGAAGCAATCACTGGTTTGTTGCTACTGTTGGAGTGTCGGTATAAAGTGTATATTTTGAAGTGAGTCAGAAGTGACATAGTCCTATATTTCTACTTTGTTTGAACAATATATGTAACATATGAAAATCTAGTTTTTCTTTTGACATTAAAAATAAGATATCTGTTTATATATTTTATTGCTACATCAGTATCTAAGAAGGGTCTGAAGAGACAAAAATTCACTGTAACACTACCCATTTCCCTGTTAGATTTTGAAAGCTATCAACCTCACAGAATTTCACATAAAACAACAGATCTATACTATGCAGTATCACTGTAAAATAAAATTTTAAACAACTGAAGAGCAAGTTTACAAAATCCTATTTTGAATTTTTTCAAAATTCATTTCTATTAAATGTGCATACATTTGTGTCCTTATATAAGAGAGTTAACATACCTATCTTCATGTTTTTCCATTTTTATTTGGTTTTGATAGGTGTACTGTCCCATTTCCTCATAGGTATTTTGGTTAGCCCATGCTGATTTGCCATTGGCACGAAGTTTTGCAAGATCATTTCGGAGCCTTTCATTCTCATGTTCCAGTTTGTTAATAGATGTATGCCTTGAATGTTCCCTGTTAGTGAAGTCCATAGTCTAAAGAATAAAAAAAAATCACTGAAAAAACTGTTCCTTATAAGTGATGCATATATTCTGTGCGTTTAAACACGTCTGTTGGAAGGGATCTTCCACTGGAGTCCAAAGATACGGATCTACTCCTCTGTACTTCCTAAGGCCCTTCTCCCCTCACCTCCTCACAACACAGGTACTCCTTGACGGCTGCCACTGAACACATCCCCAGAAAAGCAGTGCATACACTAGTGTCCATGTTCATGTATGCATTAGCATTCTCTGTATCTAGAACAGATTAGCTGGATTTAAGAGTTTTCATGTCTATGGGGTATGCCTTCTGGTGTTAATAATGGAACAAGAATAAATATACATTTCAATTTTGAAGGACTTTTTTTCTGATGACAAGAACACATGTCATTAGAGAAAATCACATATTGCTTCCCCACTGTTGGGTGATGCAACAAATTATATACAAAATCCATATAGACTAGAGTCTGCTTCTGGACCATTTTAAAAGCAAAGATCTAACAGCTGAGATGGTCCCAGTACCGTAGTTTTGAGGAGTGCGGCTTCATGATGGAGTTCTACTATCTGGTATCAGCACCCCCCACCCCAGTTTTTAATGGGTCTTAAGAAGAGAATGAGACACATGTTTAAATCATAAGATGAGAGGTTTAGAGCAAGAACAAAGATTTCCAGTGTTTTTTGAATTAAATGCCGTAAGAAGTTTCTCAGGGAGAGTCTAAACATTTTTTCTCGCAAAGTTTTAAAAAACAGGATATATCCTCCCAAGAAAACTCATAAAAATGCTTTAAATGAGTCTACATAATCTTTTCTAGTCCTGTGACTTAGGTATCTGTGAGTCGTGCAGTTGCTGATTCAACAATACTTCTAATGTTGTCAGAGGGCAATATTTAAGCACAAAAAGTGTAACATAGATAAAGTATCATTTTTGAAGTTCTGAACTTCTATGGTTAAAAGCCCATAAGACCATAGATGAAAATGGCTTAGAACTTTATTTTGAAGTTTCTAAATGTGAGGCTTTGACATGGCAGACATGTCATGGGCTAGGCACCCCATAAAATCATTACAATTTCTTGGATGGAACCGCGTGTTTTAAATTATTCATATACTACCATATTAGTATCAGGATTAACAAGGAAGGGTAGAAATGTATACATATTAGGTATGAAAAATGTTTAGCCATTTGTTGTATTTTTTCTTCAAAGAACAAGCCTGTTTACTATATTTTCTGTTTACTGCCTAATGTGTTACAGAAACTCATGAATTGTTAGAATGAAAGAAAATTCTCCGGAAGGGCGAATTCCCCCAAAACAATACAGAAAGGGTTATGTGTTTATACAGCTATTGACCAAGATGTCCTTTGGAAAAGGAGGATCTTTGACGTATTTCTCTGCTTGGGAGGCCCATGCCCTTAAGTATACCTCTTCACATTTGCTCATTTGAGATACACCCTTAAGTATACCTCTTCACATTTGCTCATTTGAAATACACCAATGCAGATAAAACAGTAATCTGTACTATGCTTTACAAGAGAAGGGATTGTTTATTCTAAAATGAGAGCAGATTTGCAATACATACAAAGGATGTGGTCTTATAAAATTTTGCCCTTCATAAAGAAAATATTCATTTGAGCAGATCTAGTCAAGAAAGGTCATGGAAAAGATTAAAAATTTCACTCTTAAAAAAATCTATTCATCAAAATATATAATTCTTGATGGCCTGCTTCTCAGTTATAACTTTATTTAAGTTTTTTCTATAAACTTAGATTTCATCTGTGATTCCTTTTGGCCTAGTGTTGGTTTAAAGTAATTGATAATGATAGTAATAATTTTTTTTTAAAGATTTTATTTATTTATTTAACAGACAGAGATCACAAGTAGGGAGAGAGGCAGGCAGAGAAAGGGGGGGAAGCAGGCTCCCTGCGGAACAGAGAGCCCGATGCGGGGCTCGATCCCAGGACCCTGGGATCATGACCTGAGCTGAAGGCAGAGGCTTAACCCACTGAGCCACCCAGGTGCCCCGATAGTAATAATTTTTTAAAAGACTTTGTAATTTTCTAAATACACCATAATTAAATAAGTATTGTGAGCATGACCTGAAAAAATTACACAGGTGATGCATTTACATGATATATATTTAATAATCTTTTTTTTTAAAGATTTTATTTATTTATTTGTCAGAGAGAGAGAGGGAGAGAGAGCAAGCACAGGCAGACAGAATGGCAGGCAGAGGCAGAGGGAGAAGCAGGCTCCCTGATGAGCAAGGAGCCCAATGTGGGACTCGATCCCAGGACGCCGGGATCATGACCTGAGCCGAAGGCAGCTGCTTAACCAACTGAGCCACCCAGGCGTCCCTACATGATATATATTTAAAAGCATATTCTATTTTCCTTGACAACAACATTTTGGGGCTCCCTCATTTCATGTTTCTTTTACATTCTTTTCTAGTAATTTCAGGAAATAATCCTCCACTAGACGGTTATCATGTGAAAACAGACACTGATTAAATTCTACCTCTGTGATTCTGATGGTTTATTTTATAGGCCTGTTATTCTAAATTTTTACCCCCATATTTTAGAGGTTTGTAGTTTTAACCCATTGCATTCTTGAAATGGCAAAACCTCTTAGTGTGTACGTGCTTTGACATGCTAGCACGAGGCCAGTTGAGTTACTGAAGTGTCTGAATAATAGTATTTTATATGTACACTTTTTCTTTTTAAGTTCATGTATATTCAACAATACTAGGCTAACAAAATATTTCTACGGAAGGACCAGCTTTAATCATGTTTTATGGTTAGTATATTAATTTTTAATATGTAAATGGGTGGATTAGATACTTATGAGGATACTAATTTTTTAGGCTCTAATTTTATTTAGCAAACTTTATGGATAGTGAAGGGCAAATCAGTTAAAAATTACCATAAATTCCGAGCTCTGATAAAATCTGATTTTTATAATACCTGTCTTAAATGAAGGAAAATTTACTAAATATACTTCTGGGTCTAAGGAAATATGGAATCACAAACAACTAGCATGATAAATTTGATTTTTCATTAGCTACCCAGCAGGAGAATAAAGGTCAACCCCTCACACTTTTTTCTGTGTAACTGTTCTTGCACAAATGCAAGGAAAACATCTTTTCCAGAGCTACTTCTGTCGCTATTTTAAGTATCTCACGAGACCTGAGGAGAACTGACATACCAGGTAGTTAGTCCCGTCAGTGGACTCTGCAGATGAGGAAAAGAGCCACCATGGCCCCAAGCATACAACGGGTAATAACTGAGAACAGGACTGACTCTTACCCCTACTGCAGGGGGAAGAAGGCCTTTTTTAAACTTTCTTTTTCTAAGTGTGAATAAGCAGGGTGCTTCACAGTTAGTCAAGCAGATAATTGCAAAGTTCTAGTAATTTTGGAGGGACCTACCTTAATATCAGTCATTTCACTTGTCTAGAAAGGAAAAAAAAAATAATTACTGTTTGAATACTATCCAAATACCACATATTTTAGAAAACCTAAAAATAAGAATGTAAATATTTTGTTTCTTATTGCCTGAGGTAAAATTTCAGTGCCCATTCTTTAATTCCATGCTTATTTATCCATTCCAGTTATTTCAGAAAGAATTAACCATCTCATTATGGGATTTTTAACACATAACAGGAGTTTTCTTTAATGTGAAATCTTTCAACTAATGACTGCTGGGTAAGTGACATAATAGATTGCAAACTCTTAAAGAACAAAGAATTATGTTTACTCTTTTTTTTTTTTTAATTCAATAGACACTCCAGATCTTTCTCTTTGGGGAGTGGCTTGACTATTTCAATTATCAAAGTCAATTTCAAATCTTCATATCCGAAAAAAGAGAGAGCAATTATAAAGTCAACTTTCTGTATAAATTACAATCCTACATAAAGTATATGTGATTAAATACTATTTTAATAAGGCATCACACTGAGGACGATTCATCAGTGGCATTCCATTTTATGATAGTCAATTAACCAATCTTTAAGCAAATATGTACCATGTATATATATGCACAGTATATAAATGTGATAAGTGCTACAGAGGTGACCAAGTATGAAAAAGTGACCTTGCCTTCATGGAAAATACAATAAAACTGAGTAGATGAAATTAACATACATTTAAAAAGTGACTCATATAAAGTATAATTATATATTAAATTATGTTGCACTATGTATGAACTCAAATGTTTTATGAATCAATGAATGGAAAAGACTATTGGACTAAGATCATGTAGGAGGTAGGATAAAACAAGGCTCTGGCAATCTCTTTAATGATGTGAGCAATAATTTCCATGAAAACTTATTCATTGCCTCTTACACTACAGGTGAGAGCCATAAATCCACAAGTATTCATCGAGCCCTACCCTATACCAAACCCTATATGAGGAAGTATAAAATACAGTCCACTTCTTCCCTCAAGGAGTCTATGACTGATGAGACAAGACATACATACACCAAACAATTAAAAAATAAAAGAAGACAATTCAAAACTTGATGTTATATTGTTATAACTGCTAAATAAAGTCCAAGAAAGAAGAAGTAAATGGAGTCTAGAGTAATTAAGATGATTTCATGGAGAAGATATAATTTAATCTAGGTCCGAAGGGACTGATAAGATTTAGTAAAGTAGAACTATGTCTTTGCTTTGGTAAAGTAATGAAAGCATTCAGGTGGAGGGCATATAATGGATTCATTCATTCATTCCCTCACTCATTCACTCATTGCTTTGTTCATTCACTCATCTAACAAAATATTTTCTCACTGCCTCCTGCATTCAGGCACTGAACTATGTGCTTGGGTACAACAGTGAACTAGGACCATAACTGCCCTTAATGAGCCTACTGGTAAGGAGATGGTAGCTGACAAGAAATAGGCAATTTTAACATTGTGCTATGATAGATGTTAAGTAAAAGATGTTATGATACTTTCAAAGATGGACACTTAACAGAGCAAAGGAAAATCAAAGAAGATTTTGTATAACATGTAAAATTTTGTTGAGTTACCTGAAACATTAATAGGGCAGGGCTATGTGAAGTAGGAAAAGGGAATTCTTAGCTAGAAGGAAAGCATGTGTAAAGGTCTGGAAGCAAGAAAGAGCATGAGAAAGGACCATCACATAAGCAGATGAGGCTAAGACAGGCCTAGCTCTAGCAGAGTATTTGTGTAGGTCACTAAAGGGGAACAAAGTGGGAGAGCCAGATTAAGGAAGCCACAGAATATGAAGAGTTATGACTTCCTACTGGGAACTGAGCACATGTTCTTGAAAGGGAAGGTTATGTTAGAAAAGCACATCCGGTATGAGGAATGGAGAGCTTGGAAGTCATTGGGTAATGCAGAGGAAGTAACTTGGAGTGGTTGCTGGATCTATACTTTAACAGAAAGCATATTGCCAGACGAGCAAGAGCCGACAGCAACACCTGTGCAATGAGTCGGGGTAGGAACAGTAGGATGAAGAGCCAGTGAACAAAAAGGAAGAAAGAGAGAGAATCACAGAATATAATAACAATTAGTATCATGCATTTGGAGTTATTCAAACCAACTTACCACCTATGTGATCTTGGGCAAGTTGCTTAAAAACTTAAAGATTTCACTCCTTTTTCTATGAAATGAGATCGTCATACTCCCAGCATATACTTGTTATAAGGCTACAGGCACTGATAGGTGTAAAGCATCTGGCAGATTATAAGGCATGTATGTGACAAGCACCCAAGGAATGAGTAGCAGCTCCTTGTTATCACACAGTTCTCCCAGGTTCCCTGACTCTTTCTCATCTCTGCCCTTTGCACATTCTGTTCTCTCACCAGGACTCTTTCCCACCAATCCATCTGACTGACTGCTCCCCAGATGCCCTTTATTGCTCCCCAAACAGGGTTAGGTAATCCCTGTCAGGGTCCCTGAATTCTGAGCTTTCCCATCACTCTCTAGTTCAATTATCCAGGTAACTGTCTATATCTGGTAATATATGGTTTCCTACTAATATTAAGTTTCATGACTTCAAGGATCTTTTCTGACTTATTCACAATACTCCCATACCGCCAGATACAGAGTAGGCATTCAATAAATATTTACAGAAAGAATGAATGAATGAATGAATGAATGGATGGATGACATTCTGTGGTGATTGAAGCATAAGATAGATAGAGAACAAAATAGAGGGACCAGAAATAAACCCACATGGTATGGTCAAGTAATCCTTAGTAAAAGCACTAAGAACACACAGTGGGGAAAGTATAGTCTCTTCGATAAATGTTGGGAAGACTAGATATTCACAAGCAAAACAATGATACTGACCTCTATCTTCTACCACTCACAATTAACTTGAAATGGAATGAAGACATAAATATCAGACTTGAAGCTAAAACTAGAAGAAAGCAGAGGGGCAACAGATACCTGATATTGGTTCTGGCAATGATTTGTTGTATATGACACCAAAAGCACAGGCAACAAAAGCAAAGAGACAAGTGGGACTACCTCAAACTAAAAAGCTTCTTGCACAACAAAGGAAACAATCAAGAGAGTGAAAAGGCAACCTATGGAATGGGAGAAAATATTTTATTCAGAAATTATTTTGAAAGTATTGAGAATGTTGTCACATAGAATCCAGGAATAGGGGCGCCTGGGTGGCTCAGTGGGTTAAAGCATCTGCCTTCGGCTCAGGTCATGATCTCAGGGTCCTGGGATCGAGCCCCGCATCGGGCTCTCTGCTCAGCAGGGAGCCTGCTTCCTCCTCTCTCTCCGCCTGCCTCTCTGCCTACTTGTGATCTCTCTCTGTCAAATAAATAAATAAAATATTAAAAAAAAAAAAAAGAATCCAGGAATATGTCAAAATTCTTAGAATAGGACTATTTGGTGTTGAAGGGTTGAATTTTGTCCCTCCACCAAAAAAAAAAAAAAAAAAGAAAGAAAGAAAAAAGTATGTTGAAGTCCTAATTCCTAGTACCTCAGGATGTGGCCTTATTTGGGAAAAGAATTTTTACATAGGCAATCAAGTGAAAGTGAGGTCACTAGGGTGGGCCCTAATGCAATATGACAGGTACTCTACAAAAAGGGAAAATTTGGACACAGAGATGGACACGCATGGAGGGGAGATGATATGGGGAAACAGACAAAGGCTGTGTGAAGGGAAATACAAGGAAGATGCCTTGTGAGGACAGAGGACAGAATGGTGTATCTAAAGCCAAGGATTGCCAAAGCTCACTGGAAAATCACTAGAAGCTATCGAGAGGTGAGGAAGAACCATCCTCTACAGGTTTTAGAGGGAGTGTGGCCCTGTTGACACCTTGATTTGGGGCTTCTATTTCCAGAACCGTATGACAAGAAGTTTCTATTGTTCTAAGTTACCTGGTTTGTGGTACTTTGTTATGGTAGCCCTAGCAAATGAACACAATGACCAAGAAGGTTTATTCTAAAAATTCAAAGATGGGTCATATCAGGAAATCTGTCAATCTATTATATACAACAACAAACCAACAGACAAAATCCAGATGATGTCATAAATGCTGAAAAGGTGTTTGGCAAAAGCCAGGAGCAAATTTTAAAAACTCTGAGTAAAACTAGGAATAAAAAGAGTTAAGACCATAACCCAAGAACAAATATTATTCTTTTTTTTTATTATTTTATTTGACAGACAGAGATCACAAGTAGGGAGAAAGGCAGGCAGAGAGAGAGATGGAGAAGCAGGCTCCCTGCTGAGCAGAGAGCCTGATGTGGGGCTCAATCCCAGGACCCTGAGATCATGACCTGAGCAGAAGGCAGAGGCTTAACCCACTGAGCCACCCAGACGCCCCCCAAGAACAAATATTATTCTAAACAGTGGCACTCTAAAACAATTTCATCTGAAATCAGAAATTAGTTTGTCAGCAATCACTATCATTATTTCATATTCTCTTGGTTTTAGCAAATGCAGTATGACAAAAAAGAACTGATATGAACAGTAAAGAAAAAGAGTTGAAATTACTATTTTCATTAAAATGATTGTATATCTCAAAAAACCCCAAGAAACCCTAGAAAACTTCCCACTAGAATGAAAAGAGAATTTGACTTTTTTGCTACATTAGCAATAAGTTCTTAAAGGAAAAAAGAAAAATACTCCACTTAGAAGAGTGGCAAGAATTATATAACACCTGAACATAAATTTTAAAAGGAAGGCACAGAACCTATACAAAGAAAATTGTAAGCTCTTATTGAAGAGCATAAACTGAGATATGAAGAAATGGAGACCGATGTCATATTCTTGGATGAGAAAACTTACTATCATAAAAATGTCAATTCTTTTTTTTAAGATTTTATTTATTTGTCACAGAGAGAGAGAGACAGACAGACAGTGAGCACAAGCAGGGAAAGCAGTAGGCAAAGGGAGAAGCAGGCTCCCCACTGAGTAAGGAGCCTGATGCAGGACTCTGGGATCATGACCTGAGCCAAAGGCAACCACTTAACTGACTGAGCCACCCAGGTGTCCCAAAAGTGTTAATTCTTTCAAAGTTATATGTATATTTAGTTTTATTCCAAATAAAACCCAACAGGAAATTATCTGGAGAAACTGGATAAATTGAACTTAACTTCCTATAAAAATTTAAATTGGGTTCTTGTTTTATATCATATGCAAAATTATAATTCATATGGATTAAAGACTTAGATGAAAAAATGTAAAGGTCATTGAAGATACTCTAAAAAACAGTGTATACTGTCTAGAAGTTGGAAAACCCTTGATATTCCAGGATGGATATGCAGAAGGTATAAACAAAAAGATACAAGTGTCTGACAGATAAAAGTTTTTTTTTTTTAAGGTTTTATTTACTTATTTGACAGAAAGAGAGGAGAGAGAGAGAGCACAAGCAGGGCGAATGGCAGGCAGAGGCAAAGGGAGAAACAGGTACCCCACTGAGCAGGTAGCCTGACGTGAGGCTCGATCCCAGGACCTTGAGTTCATGGGCTGAAGGCAGCTGAAGGCTGAAGGCAGATATGCTTAAACAACTGAGCCACCCTGATGCCCCGACAAATAAAAGTTTAAAACTTTTTGTATGGTAAAAAGATGTAAATAAATTATATAAAATAAATTTAGGAAAATGCTATTATAAACTGACAAGAAAAAGACATCCCAACAGGAAAATGAGCAAAGAATATAATTCATAGTACACTGCCAATAAATATACAAAAATATACTCCCTATATCCAGGGTAATAGAAATTAAAGTACTACTGAGAAATCACTTTACATCCATCAGACTGACAAAAATTTAAAAGAGCAATAACACCTCTTGCTGCTGAGGAGGAAAGAAAAAGGTGCACACACACAGAGGTGGGAGAAATAGGATTTGACAACAAATGTTTTAAAATTAAACTGCTTTTAAAATTAAACTGGGTGGTGCAGTCGGTTAAGGAGCCGATTCTTGGTTTTGGCTCAGGCATGATCTCAGGGTCGTGGGATCAAGGCTCACAACGGGCTCCACACTCAGCACGGAGTCTGCTTCAGATTCTCTCTCCCTCTGCCCCTCCTGCCTACTGGCTTTCTCTCCCTTTCTCTCTAAAAAATGCCTATGCTTTCTTTCAACAATTCCATTCTTTTTTTTTTTTTTTTTTGTAAGAAAAAGAGAGAGAGGGTTGGGAGAACAAAGGGAAAAGGAAAGAGAGAATCTTAAGTAGGCTCCATGCCCAGTGCAGAGCCCAGGGTTCTATCTCAGGACCCTGAGATCAAGACGTGAGCTGGAATCAAGTTGAATGTGTAACTGACCCATCCAGGCGCCCCCAATAATTCCATTCTTAGGAAGCTGCTCCAAGATATATGTATGAGGATGTTTTACATAGTATTGTTTATTTGTGCAAAAATCCAAAAAGAGTTGAATTAATTTCAAATGGATTGATTCTGAAAAACGGTTGAATAAATTTTGATATATTCACATCATGGGATATTACTAAGCCATTATGCAAAATGAAATAGATCTAAACCAGTTGATGCATAAGGATTTGCAAAGCATATTGCTGAGCGAACAAAAACAAGACAGAGAAGTGTGCAAAATGTAATCCAACTTTTAAAAAAAGTTAAAACCCCCAAGTAGGTATATGACTACATACCTATATGTACACACACACACACACACACACACACACACACACACATGAATTCACAGACAGAAAAAAGTACAAAATGATACACACCAAATGGTTTCACCTGTGTCACCTGATGGATGGGGATATGAGGTGGGTGGAGAAACAGAGTAAAGGAGAAGGGGAGAAGCAAGAAAAAAGAGACTGCATGAAAATCACTAGTGTGTAAGTTGTAGTTCAATTTATTAAAAATTATATATATACTACATGAGTATATATTAATTAAGAAATGAGGGGAAAAAAGATGCTTTCTTTCTGTCTTATAGAGATGTCCATAACATACACTTAAAAGCAGTTTAGAATAATGTACTTATTACACACTTATTTCTGGAGAGGGACACTCAGCTCATCCCTTCTATATGTGTGCAGGAGCAAGAAAAAGTTATAGAATGCTACATACTGGTTTGCTAGCACTGGCTCTCTCTGCAGCCGGACCTGGGACTGGGGATAGCAGCGGGATAATCAGCTTCTTCTTTACATATCTTTATGTGCTTTCTTTCTTGGGGAAAAAAAAAATCAACGAAGAAAGCCAAATGCCTATACAAGTCAGTACGAAACAGGCTCAGTGTGGGTTGTGATGACGCAGAATTCACACTGAAAAGCATTTAGTTTGAAATAAAAAGAAAAATAACACAAAAAACATTTTGTGAGAGGGGGGAAAAAAGATACTCATGGGGGCAGGACCTAATTTAAATTTTTGTGTGTCAAGCATTTAGAAATAAGATTCCAAAATGTCATGCGGATTTTATGGAACAGATAGGGAAACATATATACTTTCTTTTTTATTCATCTGTCATCCAATCACAGAATCTGTCACCAGGGCCAAAGAAGGCAGAATGCTTGCAGAATGCTTCTAACTCTCTGATGCTAAACACTTACCATCATGGGAAGGAGTACCTACTCTCACAGAAGTACAGTATCAGGGAGAAGCCCTGCTCCAGCTTCCTCCTGTCATAGCCAAGGAAACCGAACCAGCCGACCATGCTCATCTTTGATCCTTTCCACTCTCTCAATGACAGGAAAATTATTTCAGGATTTTTTCTCAGAGCAAATACATGCTAAACAAGTAACGGTGGTATTTCCTTAGTTCGATAAGTGCAAGTTCTCCTATTTACATCTAAAAACAAACCGTCAACGGTATAATGAACAAAAATGAAAGGCACGGAGCCTGCTCAGGCAGCCCTGTGTTAATCGATAGAGCGACTGCTTCAAACCACAAGGTCAGTCCTTGGTCATTCATTTGTTCATCCTCCCTTTTACTGAATCAACATTCAATGAGCACTTACTATACCCCTGACATTGTGAGGTGCTGGTGTGACAGACATGAATAAAACATGGTCCCTGCTTACCATTCAGTCGGGAAGTGACAGGCTACCAAACGAGTGAGACGAAAATACAGATCAAGTGTGGATGGACCAGTTCACTCTGACTGGGGTTTCAGGGGCGGCTTCATCAAGGCTAAGGCTGACACGTGAGTCAGGCCATGTTGGATGGAGGATTTTAGAGATAATGGCAGGAGCAAAAGCAAGCGAGGAGCATGTTGGAGGAAAGGATCAGAATTTAGCCCAATCCAAGAAAAGAACACAGAAGAAAACTTGAAATTCAAATGTTCTAGCCCGAGGATAAAAGTAAGTTCAATCCAAGTGCCAGATAATTTGCGGCCCAACACCTGTGTGCCTGACACATAGGAGGTGCTCAGTAAATAAGGTCTGGGTAAATCCTGACCAACTATGTAATCTCTCGGTTCGATTTACTGGATGATTTCAGCATTATTACCATGTACCGTCCAGGATCTAAATCTCCCATCATTCCTTTCAGGTGTGTGTTTTCCATTCGGACAGCTTTATATCTCACATCTGAGACCTGAAAACAGATCGGTAGGTAAAAGTGAGTGTAAAATATATAATAAAAGCTCCACAATTTTATTAAAAATAATTTTATTAACCTAAATGTTTTCTGAGTGTAGTGAAGACAAACACTGATTAGGCATGTTCATCCCAAATCAGTATTTGCATTCCGTTCTCTTTTTGGCAGACTTCACTTAACCCTCCTTTGCTGATCAATGCTAAATTAAAAACATATACCGACAATAATGACTCATTTACTTTTTTCTTTCCAATTCCAAAATTCCATTTCTCACTTCTATTTTCTACTGTATGCAAATTAGCACCAGAAAAATCACAATTTAAAAACACGCTCCAATAATGCTGCCCATGGAATTCTTCACTACGTAATTAATTTTTACAATATGCAAACATGATTTTTATGTTTAATTTTGTTCTAATATTTCTGCCAAACTACCCTCTTTTTTGGGGGGGTGATTACTTCATTTTGTCTAATGTATTTCTTCTTCCCTGATTTCTTCTACTTGACAGCACTGAGACATAGTATCTGCTCTTTTATTCAATAGGTCTCATTTCTGTATAAAACACTCCCCTTTAAATAATTTACTTTCGTAGATTACAAAATATGTTCTCCCTAACAAAAAACTAAGAACATAGAAAAGTATAAAGAATAAAATAAGAATCATCCATAATCCAGCTACCCAGATCACTGCTAACAGTTTTCAGTATCTTTTCCTGTACGGGTAGAACCAATGCTATTATCCCATCTATGCTATGTTCCTGTGTACTGTACAAATTAATCACAGTTTAAGATTTATAATTGGACAAGGGCCAGCTCTCGTTTTTATAATACACAGGATTTAAATAGCCATCTTATTGGTGAAGTGACCCTCAAATGCCTAGAAAGTTACTGAATGGTACTTTCAAAGCTTCTCGATTTGGGGTAAAGAAAAACAACAACAGATAAACCCTAGCTTTAACTAACAAGTCACCAATTTGACGATGAGTATGGGACTGAGGGCATTTCAAAAGAAATAGAAGGAAGGGAGGGAGGGTGGACTTTGAAGTTATTTGCAGTATTTTTTTTTTTTTAAGATTTTATTTATTTATTTGACAGAGAGAAAGATCACAAGTAGACGGAGAGGCAGGCAGAGAGAGAGAGAGAGAGAGGGAAGCAGGCTCCCTGCTGAGCAGAGAGCCCGATGCGGGACTCGATCCCAGGACCCTGAGATCATGACCTGAGCCGAAGGCAGCGGCTTAACCCACTGAGCCACCCAGGCGCCCCTATTTGCAGTATTTTAACAGTAGAACGGTGCAATTGCTGATTTTTTTTTTTTTTTTACCATGAACCATGCTGTGCATTGAGTCAATGTTCAGTAAATATGGACTGATTTTCATGTTTCAACATCCTTTTTTAAAACCCCAAGATATGGGGTACCTGGGTGGCTCGGTCAGTTAACTGTCTGCCTTCAGCTCAGGTCATGATCCCGGAGTCCTGGGATCCAGCCCCACATTGGGCTCCCTGCTCAGCGGGGAGCCTACTTCTCCCTCTGCCCCTTACCCTGCTTTCATGCTCTAATAAAGAAAATCTTAAAAAAAACAAAACCCCAAAATAAATACATAAAATGGGGGTGAGAAGTATCCACAAAAACCTGGAAGAGAGGCTTTTTTTTTTTAAAAGACAAAAATATTAATGGAACTACAGGACACAGATTCAGGAAGAAATCTTTGACTGGAGCGTTCTGTGGGAGGTGATCAAAATATGTGTCACAAGGAAAGGTTAGGATGAGATTCAGTGCAATTATCTTCTGTTGTCACTTTAGCCCTGGATCTGTTTTGATGACACTTTGCGATATTTTGCAAAGGTTTCAGGGGGCTCCACCAAGCATTTCCGTGATGCTAGTCTCAGACACAATACCGAGAGACACAGTGTTTTGTTGGTCCTCGAGGAAAACCAGGGTCTCCACTGGGCAAGACAGTGACCCGGACGAGGGCTATCCTGCCCACTTGCATACCTGTTGTTTTGCTAACATTTTTTCTTTGATTTCTAACTCCATTTTTAACTGTCTTTCCAGAAGGGCAGCTTTCTTCATGATAGTTGCTATAGTGATCTCCTTCTGATGAAGCTCCTCGGTTAGGTCAGAGATTTCGTTCCTCATTCTTTCCTGCTCAGAGCCATGGTCCTCTTCCTCCTGATAGAGTGGCCTTCTTATCTACAGTAGAGACATTGCGGCAAATATTAACAAGTCTTTTTCTTTATCAAGCAACTTAAGGCTTTTGTTAGCCATGTTCAGCCTTCCTGTCCTATCTTAAACCTTGGGCAGACCCCACTTTACCCTCCTTTTCCGATCAATGCTGAATTAAAGAGATACTTAAAATAAATGACTCATTTACTTTTTTTCCTTTCAAGTTCAAAATTCTGTTGTTCACTTCCAGTTTCTATTGTATGCAAGTCATCACTTACTACCAATGCTACTTTGATAACTACTTTGACAGGAAGGTGAAGAAAATATTATCAAGCACTTACCTCCCAGCATAACTGAGGTCTAATTAGAATACAAAACCTGCACGTAATTATTGTATACAATTTGGTGAGTTTGGACATACACTCATGTTACTATCATCACAATGAATACAATAATCATACCCATTACCTCCAGAAGTTTCCCCGTGTTCCTTTTTTGCTTTAGATTTGTGTGTGTGTGTGTGTGTGTGTGTGTGTGTGTGTGTGTGTTAAGAGCACTTAACATGGGATCTACCCTCTTAAAAATTTAAGTGCATAATTCCTTGCTGTCAACTATAGATACTGTTCTAGAACTTAACTTGATACCCATCAAATGACCACTGAGGAATGCTTGGTAGAAGAACCTTGGACCCACTACGCAGAGGCAGATGGACCAACCATGTTTTTAGGGAGAAAAAATTGGCCTAGAAAGATTAAGTGACTTGTTCAAGGTCACAAAGCTATTAACCAACAGAGCTGGGACTAGAACCTAGGACTCTGAGCTTTAAATTCAGTGCCTTTTTGACTAAATTATGTGTACCTTGTGTGTCTAAACACTATGTTTTTCAGAATCACATTATAATAAATTTCAAACTTAATGTGTCTATGAAAATGCGTCACCACCTCCCCTTAAACAGGTGGAGTCTCTTGTTCTCAACCATAGTTGGGCCTTCCCTGTTAGCAACCTCCGGATTACCCTGGGCTCCTCCCCACCCTTGTCCTACCAAATGCAGTCAGGCAGCAAGTTCTGTCCCTCACACTTCACCTCTAAACTGCTCCTCCACTCTCCATTTCTACTACTACTGTCTTGGTCCAGCCTCTTGCCACCTTTCTAGAAATCATTCACTGTCTCTCATTCTTGAGATTTGGAGATAAAGTACATAGTCGCCAATCTCATGAAAATCATAGTCCCTTGTGGGAAAAAAATTAATAGTTACAACACAGAGTAGCAATCCACATCAGCAGTATGCAGTAGAGGGATGCTTAACCCAGGCTGGGGATATCAGGATGGGCTTCCTGGAGGAGGGGACATCAGACAAATACTGAAGGACGAATGGAAGCCACATGGAAGGCAGGGATGGAGAAGGGTCCCAGGCAAAGAGTGCAGGGAAGACAGGCAGGGGTCGGGGTTTGTGGAGAAATGCATGCCCAGTGAAGCAAAAGGAGCCTGGGGTGGCCAGGACTCGACGTGTTGTGAGAAATAAGGCTGGAGAGCTTAATGGAGCCCATCCACAAAGATTTATATGAATTTCTCCAGGGCACTTAATTCTAAAATTGATTTTTTTTTTCATTTCATCTTTAAAGGTTTCAGGATCTATCTGTAAAAGAATAAGGGCACTCTCTTTCTCTCTCTCTTTTTTTAAACATAGCCAGAATATCAGTATCTTAAAAATATTAGCAATTCCTCAATATCATCAAATATCCAGGAAGTATTCAAATTTAAAAATGTGTCAGGACTGTAATGAATGTTTTTTGTTTATTCAAATTGTGATCTAAATATGAGGACTGGCTCATATCTTTATAAAGCCCCTTGTTTTGTGTTTGTGTGTGTTCTAGTCTATATACATCATTTCATTTAATTCCTGCAACAGTTCTCTAGTTTGTGGAATAAGAAGTTAAGTCCGTAACCTTTCTAAGTCATATTCCTGCTGACAGGAAGTCTGATTCCAAGACCTTACCCACGGTGCTATGTAACCCCTGGGAGCTGAACCCTGAAAGGTTGTTCACACAGTGGAAAAGCTAGCATGGGATGACCTAATGTGGAAAGGATGCATGTCCAGAAGGAAAACCTGATCTGTCCTCAGTTCTATACCACCAACCCCTCATGTGGGATTCTATGTTTATTATTAACATTCTTAGAATTTCAGAGTTGGGGGTGTGCATTGGAGGCTCACTCAGTTAAGCATCTGACTCTTGGTTTTGCTCAGGTCATGATCTCAGGGTCGTGAGATTGAGCCTCATGTTGGGCTCTGCACTGGGTGTGAAGCCTGCTTAAATTCTCTCTCTCCCTCTCCCCCTACCCCTTAAAAAAAAAAAAAAGAAAAAGAATTTCAGATTTGGATATGACCTTAGGAGTCTCACAGTCCAACCCCAACCCCATCACTGAACAGATGGAGAGGGGAAAAAAAAGACTCCCAAGGAAGGGAATGGACTGGGCCTAAGTTATCCATTTCCTAAGAGCAAAAGAGAAGAGGAGAGAGGAGTACAGATATCCTCACCCTGAGGACAGTGTGAAACATCTCCTTTCATTTCCAATCTTCTCTATCCAATTTTTTTTTTCTTTACAATTTATTTGATGAAACCATGGGGTTCTTTGTGTGGTTTGTCCCAGTTTGGATTTTGCTAATGGCATCCCTGTTGTGTAGTTAACATGTTTTCTCAAAATGGAACTTTCAGAATACAAAAAAAAAAAAAAAAAAAAGACTATACTATTAGGAAAAAAGGGTAAACTGTTTTTATTATTTTCAGAGCATTCAGATATTAAAACAACATGCTCTGCTGCAGAGCTTCCCTCTAAATGAGATTAATTTACCGAGCTCTAAATGACTTTTGGCTTTATTAAAAATGTCAATTTTATCACGAAGTCCATGACAAAAATAGTTCTACACTGAAAAAAGAGAAAGAAAGAAAACACTTGCAGGATTCATAATACATGGCTCTTGCTGCTTTTATTACAAGAGAATGAAAATGCTCTCCACAAACCCTTCCTGGGAGCTCTAGCTATTTATACACAATTCATTTGTTACCTTTCTCGCACGGCAGTGCATTATCTAGAGGTCTCCAAAGAGCCTATGAAGAGAATTTGTGCCTTGTCTTCTCTCCTTCCATACTGAAACTGTGCAATGTCAGTAGACTCCTATTATTCAAAGTGTTACTGAGTCTATGAGGTTAAGAATAGTGTAACTCTACTTTAGGTGGCTTTAATCAACCTTTGTATCATAATGCCTTCACTGGGGATACCAGCAAAGACGCAGTTTTTTAAAGTTATATGTATAAATACAGTGAAATCAGTTTCATAGGATTATGTGAAAAATAAAAGGAAAATGATCATTAGTTCATAACACCTCTTCTACACTTAATAGCTACGTGATGGTCAACTCTGTGGGAGACAGAATTTGTCTTTTGCGTCACTGTAGTTCCTGCAGAAACAAGCAGAATAGCCATAGTCCTACTCAATGCTCAATAAACGTATTTTGAATTTATACAAATGGCAACTGAATGCATGAGCCTACACAATTATGGGAGACCTTCACCTTGATATTAATTCACTTGTTTTCCAAATATTTATTTTCACTTTTGTAAGTCAGGTGCTGTCCTGGGCTAGATGATGATTTGAATCCATGCCAAGGTTTTCCCTACTTTTAACAATTGTTTAGATCATCTAACATCGACTATTTAGGTGTGGTTCAAAACTAAAGACTAAAGACATGGGTAGTAGCCATGATAAGCTCATGGAAAGGAAGCCCCTCCTGGATTCTGTTAGAGGGTGAAGAGAATATACTTTTTGTAGAGAGCTGAGAACCACAAGGTCTTTGAGGACAGTGCTCAGGCCTTCATCATCCCTGTATTGCTTGTTATTGGCAGATCACTTGGCATGGCTTAGGTGCTCAGTGACAAACGTGGGTGTAACCAATAACAATGTCATCCTCCACTCACTCAGCGCCTCCTCTGAGCTAGGCAGGCCCTGTTCCAAGCACTTTACATGCATTTTTAAAATGGATTTTAACTTAAGGGGAGGGTATGGTTCTGGAGTCAGATTGCCTGGATCTGAATCTGACCCCTGCTGCCGGTGGCTGTGTAATATTGGGGGAAATTACCCAACTTCTCTGTGCCTTAGTGTCCTCAAATGTACAAAAAGATGATGTTATACTACTTTATAAACTGTTGTGAGGAATCAATGAGCTGTGATTTGCTAGGCCCTCGGAGCCCCTCCTGGTGCATGGGGACTGCTATTTAAGTAGCAGAATTATTAGTAGCCCCTTTAAGCCACATCACAGTTGTAGGAGGCGGGTACTACACATTCCATCTTCATCCTAGAAATGGGCAACTTGCCCAGGCAACTTCCCCGAGCTTATGTACCTACTAGATGGTTGGAGGCCTGAGTCTGGGCTCTCATACTTCTTGCAATAAGCTACTTGTCATGGAGCCTAGTGTCATAGTCTCCCAGTGGCACAGTGAGGACTTAAGGTTTGTGTTTTTTATAGCATCATGCAGAAGAATGTCGGAATTAGCAGCCTGGTAGGTTGTTGTCTTAGGGGAAAATATAAAAGGAAAAAGAAGGGAATGAGAAGGAAGGTCCCCCTGCCTTCTGAATTGTTCAAGGACTTCAGATCAGCCTGGAGGAATGAAGCCCATTTTTTCCCATACCTTGTTCAAGTCTTTTTCATGATTTGGTTGATCTAGGGTCACTGAAAACAGCTCTTTCCTCTTCCTTTCTGGTTCTTTAGTAGAAGGTGAATAAGATGATTCAAGTCTACAAATTGAACAATGCGAATAAAAATTAAACTTAACTTGGTAAACTGTCATGATTATATTGTCAATTTAGACTATTGTAGGTTGTAGAGATAGATTATTAGTTTATTGGAAAAATTTCTAGTTCCAGATTGCAAATTCTAATACATTCAGATCCCATAAGTATTTACATATTTAACTGAGTGCAAATGGTTTGAGTGAAAAAAAAAAAAGGTAGCAATTATATGGAATTTCAATTATGCCTTGAAAATTGACAGAATACTGAGTTTGCATTTGTAGATAAGATTTTTATATAAGAAGACTATTTCCTATAATAAAATAGCTTGGGAACCCCTTTAAAAAAAGGAAACACATCTAACTAGCTTGTACATCATGGAAAGGAACTATGTCAAGAGAAGTCTGAGGGGAGCAGCTACTCCATAAAAGTGACCCAAAATGACTAAATCTGACAGTCTACCCAGAGAAAGCACAAATACATCTGTTCTTTGGCTGCTTAATTTATAAAAGGAATTGCCAGCGCATAGGGATACCAGAGGGGAAACACAGAAACTAGTATAAAAAGTACAATTTCTATAGGAGGTTTGGAGAAGTACAACTGGGTTTACTTCTAAATAAGGGAAGTTGGTAAATGAAAAGAAAAAAATCATTGAAACAGAAAATAAAAATAGCCAGGCAAGGACAGTAGCATGCTTTCTATTGTTTGACTAATCTAGTCAAGTCTGGTGTTTTGAGGAACGTACCCACCTGTAAGGGAGTACAAGTTCAGATTTCCAAAGAACTTTTTAAAAGGCTCCATACATCACAAACTTAAACCACACAAAACAGAATCTGAGCAATGACAGAGAAATACCTGATGTAAATACTGAAAAGAAAGGGATATTTTAAAAGGTATAAGTTTGTAGTGATATCCCTGAGGTACTTGTATCTAGACCGGATTGCCTTTCTTCTGATTATCAAATATATGTGTTAACTGTAGAAAACAGAGGATATTAGAGTATATGCTGCTATAATGTTATCAGGGAAAAAAAATTATTGGCATTTTTGTGTATATTATCATCTTTCTTCTATGCACATGGGTATAAATGTATATGTTTCCCATACAATTAGAAAGTTCTGCACACATTATTTTTCAGTCCCCTTTTGTTTCCTACTCAGTAATATATTGTGAGCATTTTATCCAATATTCTCTTCCAACATTATTTCAGAATCAGTCTTAAATTTTTCTTATTTGCTATTATTTGAAAGGGGTGAAAAATGACATTTCCTATTTTTCAATTCTTCCAAAGCAATTTCAAGGAATGGAATGCTGAATGAATTGGGGCGGGGGAACATCCTCATGATGGTCTTGTAAATTTCACTGAGCAACTGGAAAAAACACTGAAGGTCAATGTAGACAAGTTCAAAGAAGAAAACAGTAATCATGCTAATATAAAATGCTAATAATCATAATATGTAAAGGAATTATCATTTGTTATGTAGGAGTGTTGGGATTATTTTTAATAATTCTCAGAACATATCATACCACGGTGCTTCTGTAGCTAAAGAAAAAGGAAAAGCTAACACAATCATAGCATTATTGAGAAAGGTTCTGAAAATGAGTAAAAAGCATTACTATGCTACTTGTATAAAACTACTGTGTGTCTACACCCAGGAGGCTGGGCTGCCTCATGTTTATACCACTGGAAAGAAAAATAGAGTCCAAAGGAAAGAAACCGAAACAATAGAAATGCTAGAATCACCTTCATATAAGAACAAACCAAAAGCATGAGAAACTTTCAATGGGAAAGACGAAGGCTAAGAAGACTAGGCCCAAAGTCTGAAATACAATGAAAGCTGTGAAAAGATAAGTATCTATCTTCCCATCACATCTCAGAATAATACTAGAACTGAGGAATACCCTCCAAACAAGAAAGCTGCAGTTTGGAGACCAAAATAAATACCACCTTAAACAGAGAATGGCATTAGGCATAACAAAAGAATTGTATTGGCCAAATATGTGAATAACTGCAAGATTTTAGATGAAATCATACCTTGAAGGAAAGTGGATGAGGTCTGGAATTCAGCACTTGCCTTGTGGGACAGCACCACAGAAAGTACCTACAGTGCTCTTCCATAAAACCACAGCTACACAGGGGGTGAAAGGTTTGCTCTTCTGGGAAATTTCTTACGTATTTAGGCATATACATCCTTTGTACAAAGACATTTCTCATCAACTCACCACACTGGAACAGTGCCTTGTGCACTATATTTTCCCAGTAGATTTATTAATGATCAGTGATGAAATCTACAGCTTGCAGATACAGTACTCTCTAGCACTGACTGGCTAATAGGCATTCTACTATCTTTGGTGAGACACATAATAGATCATTTTTAGGAAGTTAATTTGCCATTTGTTGTAAGTGTAGAGCTCAAAAAAATTCAAGCAAGTCCCGCAACTTTAAACAAAGAATCATTGCCTTTAAAATCAGGTAATCATCTTTCAGCAAAATATCCCTTACCATTTGGTTATCAGTTTTTAAAATCCTATCATTAGCCTTCAGATTTGAGAAGGATTCAAGTTCCAGTGAGAATTAGAACATCAGCGAGTGGTTCGAACAGTCAGACTTTCTACTCACAAGTATAAATATTTCATTATCCTTAGCAGTCCCATTTCCTTTGTGGTTCTGGAATATACAATATCTGTCTGATTTTAAAAGAGGAAAAAAATCTGCTCTAACAAAACCCCCTTAATGGAACTGACAAAGTAGTGAGTATGGAGACCAAAAGAAATACATTTACAAGTGAAAAAGTTAGTAACAGGTTTATAGGCAATCAAAATAAAAACACTTGAAAATATGGAATAAATCTTATTTATCAATATATGCAATTAAATATCAGCTTAATACTACTCTCTTTACAGTATCCTGAAAAACAAAAGTTCTAAGAAAATGTCCGACTCACTGTGCTACTTAAGTATCCATAAATAAGAATATGATACAATTTTCTAGGTAAGTAAATATATACATTTTGAAGATGAAATAATCATGGATTTTATTTTTAATATCAAATATTATTCAATAATTAACAGCATGTTAATACAAAACAAAGATTTAATTCTCATTTTAAATCTCAAACTCTTAAGATATTCAAACACTGTGTCTTGAACTGCTTCTCTCAGCCAGCTGAGTATTAAGAATATACCTTTTTTTACTTTCTTGAATATTTTGGCACTCTCCTATTTTTAATAATTCTCTGTGCAGCTGCAATCGTTCCATTTCTATGATTCTCAAGAGATCATCACGTGACTGTAACTCACTTTTCACCTCTGAGAGTCCTGCTTCCATGGCCTATATAAAAACATCAAAGAGGTCCAGTGCTCACATTTGGATATCATGATTATAATATATTTAAAATATTTAACATCTAGGAACCAGCTTAATTCCAATTAACTGGTATTGAGTACTTGGTTGGCTCTGCCTTACAGAATTCCATTCATTCATTCATTTACTCAACAAATATTTGCTGAGTCCTTATTATGTGCTCAACCCTGATGATACAGACATAGACTCTCTTCTCAGCGAGCTTACAGTCTAGGGATAAGGAGTAATCATTAATTACACAAATCTGATCACACTGTATGGGAGTTTGAGAGATTCATAAAGGTATGAATAAAATATTAATGTGTAAAATTTGGATTAATGCCAATAATTCCTAATTTAAAGACAATAGCCAAGAAGAATCTAATTTCAAAGCTGGCCAACACAGTGAATTATAAATTGTGGTCTGTGGGTCCACTACTGTCCAACAATCCAGTGAATCCAGTGTTTTATTTTGTTGATAAGAGGTTTGAGCAAGATTAAAAGCTGCTGGGAAGGGTCCAGGTAGGAGAGAGGAGGAATAATTGTAATGGCATCGGTTCCTGGGAAGGTGGGTGGAGTGAGTCCCAAAGCCCAAGTGGAGGAATCACCTAAAACAAAAAATGAAGGAAGGAAGGAAGATGGAATGTAGAATGGAAGTCTGTGCATCTGAATATGGAGAGATAAGACAGTGGCTCTCGTTGGCTTCTATTTTTCTTGTGAAATAGAAAGATGTCACTAGAAGGAGAAGGGGAGGTGGGGGCATTGGAGCGATTTTTTAAAAGATTTTATTTATTTATTTGAGAGAGAGAGAGAGAGCGCATGAGCAGGGGAAAGGGTGGAGGGGGAGGGGAGAAGCAGACTCCCCTCTGAGCAGGGAGCATGATGTGGGGCTTGATCCCAGGACTCTGGGATCATGACCAGAGCTGAAGGCAGATGCTTAACTGACTGAGTCACCCAGGTGTGCCCATGGGATTGATTTTTAAGAGTGGAGAAGGTTTGATGTGGCCAATCAGAATGGGAGAATTCGCTGACTAGAGCAGCAGAAGAGGATTCCTGGCAGTGCTGAGTACTCATTTGAGGTTCGTGACCATGACCTGTTGAGTGATTTTCTCCAGCAGTACTTGGCTGTTCTCTGGGAGAAAGGTTATGGCAGAGTTCTTTCAAATCATCAGGTTCTGTCTACTCACATATACAGGGAAACTAATATTTATTAAGCACACCTGACCCAGGTCATCAGCTCCATTGCCACTTTAGTAGATAAGGAAATCAAAGGTCAGAGTTGGTCCACATTCACAAAGCTCAAAAGTGGCAGATTTTAGAAAAGAAAAATCCAGGTCTTTTGTCTACTAGTCCAGTTGGAACATCCAAAATGCAAAAATAATTTGTTTCACACAAAATCAATGAAACAGACTGTAGCTTACTGGTTAAAACAGGCTGGGGTGTTATGAAGGTGGGAGGTTCCCCTGCTAATAAAGGCTGTAGAAAACACTACAGATATCTTTAAAAAATCATTGGTTCAATAACAAATTTATTTGAATATAATCCACATACCATAAAATTCACCCATTGAAAGTATATAATTCAGCGGGCCTTAGTATATTCAAAAGTTCTGCAGGTATCACCACTAATTCCAGAACATTTTTATCACAACCAAAATAAACCCAATATCCATTAGTAGTTATTTCCCATTTTCCCTCCCCCTTGTCCCTGGCAACCACGAATGTATGTTCTGTCTCTATGGAATTGCCTATTCTGGACATTTCACACAAATGGAGTCCTATAATATGTGGCCTTTGCAACTGGCTTCTTGCACTCAGCATAATGCTTTCAAGGTGCATCCATGTTATAGCAGGTATTGGGATTTTATTCCTTTCTGGTGAGGGATAATATTTAATTGTATGAATATGCCACATTTTGTTTATTAGTTTGTCAGTTGCTGGACATCTGATGTTTCTTCTTTTTGGCCATAATACTGCTATAAAATTTCATGTACAAGCTTTGGGCATGTTTCCTTATTCATTAATTCTTATTCCCAAATTCACAGAGCCTAGAAATATAATTATGCAGACAGTACAGGACATATGAGTTCCCAAAGAAACTTTTTTTTAACCAAAGCCTTAGATTTATACTATTTTCCGGGAGACCTAGAGACCTGCGTTTGTGGAAAGACCTCACTGCAATACGTTAGCCCCACAAGTTCCTGGCTGACTTGGAAATAAGAGTAAAAATATATTCCCAAGGTGATCTAATATACTTGTTTGGATAAAGATGTGTTTGAATAAAGCCCCTGTTTCAAACAATGAGGATTTTTCAGATGAGGCTGAAATTTCAAAATAAACAAAAGAAATGTGAAACAATAGATTCACAAGTAGAAAAACAAATTGATTTGATGTATATGTCATCCATTACTTTGGCTAATTGAAGAAGGCACCATCTGGGCTCCCTGACTTGTAGATTTGCCACCACTTGAAGCTACATGTGGGTAAGTAGCTTCACTTGGGGAAAGGAGAGGATAAAAAGGCTTTAATTCCAGGCCATTGAAATGCAGAGTCACCATGGGCTAGAGTTAATTAAAATTCAGTAAAATGTACTAATAATAGTTTATTTGTTTACTGTTATTGGAAAAGAATACCTATAAGACTGATATTTGGGAAAAATAAGCTTATTTGTGATCTAGCTACCCAGGTAAGAGAATTTATGTCAAAATTGAAACTTTTCATAAAATAAATCAATAATAATGATTTGACACGTTTTTCTAGCATGGAGGAATATGCAAAAGACTTTAATTATAACAGACAGAATTATGTAAATTGACTATAAAAGTACAAGAAAAGAAGCTTTGCTGATACAGATAAATTGAGAGTTGTTTTTTGACTTAATGCAATATCCCTTTGAATTCAATGTCAATAATACTGAGTTGACACAGAATTAGTGAATTTGTTTAACTTAGATGTAGCTTTAAAATTGGCATGCTTTTGCATAAAATCCAAATTAATTATTTGTCACTGTGGATGCAAATATTTAGGAAAATGACTCTTTGGTACTTGGTTCAGTGACTAGAATACTATCAAGATTGTTTGGAACAACTTAGATATGTAAATCTACTTTTTTTTTTTCCTTAAGTAAACGTGACCCCTGATGTGGGGCTGGAACTCACAACTTCAAGATGGAGAGTGGCATCCTCTACCGAATGAGCCAGCCAGGAGCCCCTGTAAATCTACTTTTTGAACTGTAAATTTTATGACATCTAAACACAGATCAAGTATTTCCAGTGACTACTTGGCTTTCAAAGTGAGGTATGTTGTAAGTGTAACTACACACCAGATTTTGAGGCCTTAGTATGAAAAGAAATGTAAAATATCTCATTATCTCATTAGTAACTTTTTACGTTGATTATATGTTAAAATGATAACATTTTAAACACTGAGCCACCCAGGCACCCTGAAATGCTAATACTTTAGATATATGTTGGTTTGAATAAAATATATCACTATTCTGTATTAATTTCATCTATGTCTTATGACTTCTTTTAATGTAATTACTAGAAAAATGTAAATGATAGTTGTGGCTTGTATTGCATTTCTGTGGGACAATGTGGCTCTAGTGCCTTAAGGATCCATTAACAAGCCAACAGAAAAGGTCAGTTTTGGGGGGGCATAGGTATTAGAAAAATGCAACAATTTCTTTTTGTCATTAACTTCTAATGGGAAATGCCACATATTTTAAAAATGTGAGCATAGTAGAGCGTAGTAAATACATATGTGCAATGGCATTAATATGGATGCTGACACATTTCAAAGTTGTGGAAAGACAAGTGAGATGTGATTCATGTGAAAATCCAGATGCAGCTGGCATTAAAGTGTGTTGTAAACTAAAGAGAATTGTATATACTATAAGTGACAGTAATTCAAATTGAAATGGTTGTCTTTCTAAATTCATGTGTGAGATGTGGAACACTGTCACATGACAGGTTTGCAAAAAGAGAAGAGAAATTTCTTTCTAAATATATGCACTGGTTAAGTGATTATTTACCTCTGATTATTCCCATTTGGTAAAATATGAATTTTGTAAAACAAGTTTAAGGCCCATCTGTTTAGTTAGAAATTTGCCTAATGGTTTGAGAGCAGTGCTTTTTAAACCTTCAAACCAGCAACCAAATAGTAAATAATTGATAACTTCTTATTTCGTATTTGTTTTAAAGCAAGAGAATGAAACCTAGGTCAAATTTAGAAATAAAACAAGGAAAAGGGCAAATAAAAGCATTATTTTCAGCATGATGTCTTTCTTCTAAAGACATCAAAAACAAGTAGTGTTTTCTTGGGCATAGAAATCTGATCTGTTAGCTACCTTCAAGTTTTTGAACCAAATTACTTCTCAAAGATCTTTTTCACTTAAAGCTTTAACATACCTTCATATGTTAAGCATACTCCAGAATAATTTGGTTTTTTAATACATGTGATTCTTTTGTGAAATACAAAATGGAGATTCTTGGTTTAAATTTAATAATGTCCCTAGACCTAAGGATAACTAAATTATTTTTGTTTAGTGAACAAAAATCTGTAAAAATAACTTTGGCAAATTGTCTCATAGAAATTGGCATAGAAATAAAGATAAATAAGGGTCATATTAAAATGTATCATTAACTACGAAAAAGATCATAAAATAGAGTAGAAAATTCCTCATGAAGAATATGAGAAAAAGAAACATTTCAAAATTTAAATCAAGTTTTCTCAACCTCAGCACTATCTATACTTTGTTCTGGATAATTCTTTGTTGTGGGGGTTGTCTTGTGCATTATTGGATGTAGTGTATCAGGCCTCTACACACTAGATGCCAATAGCATCCCTCTACCCCATTATGACATCCACAGATATATCAAAGCATCACCAGGTGTCACTTGGGAAGCAAAATCACTCCACTAGAGAATCACCGATTTAAAGGAAAGTCATAACGATTGGGGACAACTAATACTGTTATTTTATAACCTTTGGTATAAATATCAATATGAATTATTTCACAATTGATTGACTTCTATGAGTGGCTGGGCTTTTATTTTGTTAGTATATATTCAGGAACATTGGTAAATCATTATGTATGCTAATATACATATATATCAGGAAAAGTGAAAGTGGATAACATGGCCTTTCCTTAGCCTGGACGAGCTATGGAGCCTTCTCAGGAGTGCATGTATGTAAGTCCTGAGAAGTCTGTAGAGCTCTTGGGCAGAAGGCTGAGTCATACCCTGCTGAACTTGGGTCAAGAGAGTTGATTTATTCCCAAAGGACACATCTCCCAAAGGACACATCTCCCAAAGGACAGGGAGGCCTTGACCATTAGGTGGTCCAAGGTCTCTAACTTCCTGCTACATGTTCAGATTCTCTGGTTGCACCTTCTCCCTTCTTGTCAATAGGAGTGTCAGTGTGAGAAGTGTTCATATAAGTCATTCACTTGGAGAGAGGGAAGAGATTATAGTCTGAACTGAGAATGTGAATTTATTAATGTTTCTCAATGTACACTCTTCCTCTATCTGCAACATTCTTTCTTTTAACCAGATTCTTCAACTCCCTTCCTGGAAAAATATAACAGATGAAATTCTGAGAAGGAGAAAGGTGGGGCTAGTCAAGGAAAGCATTATAGAGAAGGTCAGTCATGCTGCCAAGGAAGGAGAACAGAGGCTGTTTCTAGAATACAGGGTAAGAGTAGCCATTTCTATTTTCCAAGTGAGCCCAAGAACTGAAGGCTGAACTTCAGCCTATAACAGAGAATGTTCTTGGATGCTATAATAGGTCCAGACAAAATTTTTTTGGCGAGATTAAGAGGAACTGATGTTAGTGGAGAAGTTGAACCTCACTGAAGCATACAAGCAGACTCCATAACTGGGCTCACTCATGAAATACATTAGGGAAAACTAAAGAGAATAGAACAGAAAATAGATTTCTGGGGACCAGAACCAAAAAGACCTCAAAAAGGGACAAAGAAGACTGACTCCTCAGTCCGTGCTGGAGGACCTAAAGCCCAGGGGAGAATATTTAGGAACAACCCACAAATATACTCTCCTGACTTACTGACTGTGATCCTGGTGCAGACTCTAGCAGTACAAAGACAGCTGCAGAATGTCTTGAAATAAGAGCCAGAGGCCTGACCAATTGCCCAGGGAGATTGAGAAGGGAGTCCCTGAGAGAAAATGGCCTCAGAAGTAGAGGTCCTGCAAACCCTTCAGTCAGGACCGGTGGGCTGACGGGCAAACTGAACACCAGAAGCCACCTGACAGCCTCTCGAGTAGAAGAGGAAGGGCTAGTCTGATTTACGGTATAGCAAAGCTGGAGAAAACACCGTTGGTACCACCCCTATTTCTAGACAATTTGTGGCTTGTTCAGGGCTTAGGATCTGTGGTTTGTTCGCTTTGTTTGTTTATATCTATATGATGATTTGTATTAGAATCACACTCCTGCCCCACCCCCTGCCCCACACAAAGCTGGATTTGGGGATGGAGGAGATGTCCTTCTCTTAGAAATACCATGGAAGAGGAGAAGCCAGGAGCCTCGTGTTCAGCCCCCCTATAGACACGGAGAAAGAGGAAATGGAGGAGTAGATGCCGGTAGAGAAATAAATAAAAGAACGAATCCCATATATAATGTGGCAGGATGGGGAAATGAGGAGTTGGCCCAAGACTAAAAAATGACCTTGGGAATTTAAGTGGTAGAAGATCCTGAGGAATATCTTAGAGAAGTGGAGGTTTGCTCAGGTAGTGACCTCCAGAGTATATATCTCAGCAAGAGGAAGGGATGGAGTGGGACTAAGAATGGGCCAGCAGACATGCTCGAGCTGGTAGAAAAAGGCCAAATGCTTGTAGGGGGGAGATAAGACCAAAACGGGGGGATAAAACTATAGAATCTGTCAACTAACTGGGATATCCATGAATAAGAAATATATATTTAGTAAAGAAATTGGTAATGACCAATTTTGATGAATGCTCTATTACTTTCTTAGTGATGCATAAGTAGACAAGAAAGAAAGAGAGAGAGAAGAAAGGAAGGAAGGAAGGAAAAAAGAACGGAGAAAGGAAGAAAGGGAAGGAGGGAGGGAGGGAGGGAGGAAGAGACAGAAAAGACTGCTGGGTTAAGAAGAAAATTTATGCTCAGAAAAACCAGCAATCACATCTGCCAATATAGAAATTACTTCAGAAAAAAAAAAAAAAAAACCCCAGACTCCAGACTACTTGGTAAATGATTATGATAAAGTGAACAGTGATAAATCCCAGGGAGTGACCTCCATGCCTCTCATTGAGGTAATTAGATTGTTGACCTTTTACTGGTCTCCTGGATCTCCAACCCAGGATTCCTGCAAGTCAGGGAGGCACAGGGTCAGAGAGAATCTGGGGACACAGGGCAGCGTGTGGCCAGAGGGCCACGGTGTTAGGCACAGGGGTCTGTGAGTGAGCGCTCTTCTGTCCCGGTAACGCCATCATTCTGTACTACTGGAGGACTCATGTTCACTTTGGTGGGGAAAAGCATCTATGGGATTACAGAATTTATTATCAAGTGAGAATTACTAAGAAGAACTAGGAACAGAATTTACACATGGCATAGAAAATTAGCTTTCTAATCTATATACCAGTTCAGTCACGATTTCTACAACTTGTGGGCAGTATCAGTTGTAAAATAAAGAATCACCTGGCACTGTCTTTGGTACATCTTCAGTTCTTGTAAGAGCTTCTGATTTTCATCTTGTAACTTATTCCTGCTTAATGCTATTTCACTCACAGCTGACTTTAGTTTTTCAATAATGAACTCATCTCTTTCACTGGCTTCGCAACTGTGATCTGGGTCGCTCATCAACCGAGGATCTTCTGAGCTGCTGTCTTCTGAGCACTGCTTTTTACCGCTGAGTTGAGTTTGGTAACTTTGTGCCTGTTTCTGAGAAAGATTAAGACTGTGTCAATGAAAGAGAGAACATCGTATTTAAGCTTCCATAAATAACATTCAAGAATGGGAGAAAAGACTTGGGAAAAACATCTTTCAGTATGTTTGTAGTGGAGTTTCTCTCTTTGTGATTCAGTCCTGTGTTTTTTTTCTAAAACCTCCATTTCGGATGATGTAAAGAGAAAACATAGTTGTAGAACCTCAGAGCAAAGACACAGAGTAGGAGAGGGGGCTTGGAGTAGGGAAGTCTTAGTAAGTAAGAAAGAATGTTCAGAAGAGGAAAATTGTGGCTACAATCACACAATAGTTGAAAAGGTCAATAGGATGGAAAATAACCAAAATGAACAAAATTAAACAAAGACACTTGGATTGTAGGAAAGACTTGTCAACACGTATAACAAGGGTCAACAATTCTTAATGTACAAAAATTTCTTACATTCATAAGAAAAAGAGAAACAACACAAAAGAAAAACTGGCAAAATTTATAAACAGGAAATCACAGAAAAGGAAATGGAAAAGGCTAAGAAGGAAAGAAAGAGATGCTCAACCTTAGAAGTACTCAGAGAAATGCAAAACAAATCAAGCCATTCTGCTATCAGTCCAAGTTGGTAAAAATCAAAAGACATAACATTCCATGTTGGTGAATATATGAGTACCCCTACAAAATGTCCATGAATGGAAATTACTATAATCTTTTGGGAAGTAATATGCTAGTATTTATCTTAAAAATTTGAATAGACATAATGCCCTGTGGCTCAAGAATTATTTCTAGGAGTTTTAATCTAACAAAAGAAAAATATTAGCATTTAAAGATGTATGTACAAGGATATTTGTTACAGTATTATAATAGAAAAAAAACTAAAAACAAACTGAATGTTCATCAATAAGGAAATGATTGAAAGAATTATGGTATAGCTACTATATACTATGATACATATCGTAATAGAAACCAAATTCAATTAAATATTATTCAGAATGAATTAATGAATGAGGAAGGATAATTATTAAGTAAAACAACAAAATTTTAAAAAGGAAAAAATATACAACTTCCCCCAAATACATACTTTACATGTTTGTACAAACAAAAGAAAAAGTATGGAAAGAAAAATACCTATTATTTGTATTAAATCAATAAGAATAGAGAAGATGAAGTTATAAGTTTTACATTGGATTATTTTGTATTGTTGAATTCAGAGAACATATATAACTTATGTAATTCAAGGAATGTAAAGAATGAAAAATAAGAAAACAAAACCAAAATTAAACAAAAACCATAGTTTCTCACTGGCTTCAATAAAAATTCCAAATTCCTTGGCCAGGACTTTAAAGCTTATTATAATCTGTATTCAACTCACCAGGCTTACCAACTCCTACCCTTCCTCACCTTCCACAGGGACTCCCAGCCAACTGGCCCATTTTCAATACCCATAATTTGCCTTTTGCTCTCTTGCTTCAGTGATTTACTCCCATTACTTCCACCACCCAAAATACCTTCTCAAAATACAACCATTCTTCAAGGTCCAGCCCCAGTCCTACTCCTGTTGGAGGACAGTTGCTTACTATCTCAGCCCAAATTTTTCCCTTACTCCTCTGAACTCTAAAAGGGTTTCCTATTCACTTGCCATTAATTATCTGTAAATATATACATGTGTTGTCTCTACACCTAAGCTGTAAGGTTCTTGAGGTCAGGAACCAAGCAATCTCAGACTTTTTAAGCAACTTGCCCATAGGCATGCAAAAACATACGTTTTTTAATGATATAATCAAACGGTCACTTTTAAAAGTACCATCCTTGGGGCGCCTGGGTGGCTCAGTGGGTTAAGCCGCTGCCTTCGGCTCAGGTCATGATCTCAGGGTCCTGGGATCGAGTCCCGCATCGGGCTCTCTGCTCAGCAGGGAGCCTGCTTCCCTCTCTCTCTCTCTCTCTGCCTGCCTCTCTACTTGTGATCTCTCTCTGTCAAATAAATAAATAAAATCTTTAAAAAAAAAAATAAAAGTACCATCCTTTGAGACATGTAGACTAAATTCACCATTACAAATTTTCATGCACTTGCGACTTTACCCAGTGTTAGACCTACTCTGGTTATTTTCTATTAGTTGGCATTTTTATCTGTAATAAGATTGGTTACAAAGATGGTAATAGTTAACCTCTAATTTTTTCTAAGTTAGAGGGTAGTATTAGGTAATGTACCTGAAATTGATTACACTTCTCAGATAATAATTTTTGTTGAGCATCTAAAGAAACCAGATGAGTCTGATAGAGTATCTCTTGCTTGTCCCATTCTCTTGACTTTGCTCTAAATTCCTTTTTAAAAAGTGGGGGACAAACATAAATTGAAGAAAATTATTCACTTAAAAGCACAATGAGTAAGGCTTCTTTCATTTGTACATCTTCATTCTAAACAACTATATCCATTCTTTCCTCATTTGGAAAACAAAATAAATATTAAGTCACTCATCTTGAGTTTATTACCAGATATAGCTTCTGATTCTTATCACCAAACCTGTATTCTTAATTTTGTTTGTTTGCTTTTATGGGATGAGGCTTGGACTGATTTAGTGACTTTGTCCCCTTCTGGATTTCAAGGCTACTGTCCAAGGTAAAGCCAAAATCCGTTCATTCTGGGGAACAGAACAGCTATTTCAGGCCTAACTTGGGATACCAGCAGGGCTGCCCTGGGGAAGAAGTGGTGGAATGAGTTTGATGCAACATATTTGGTTCTACAAGTTTTTGTTCAAAGTAGTGTATTTGTAGACCATAAATGTTCACAACTTAACACAAGGAAAAGATATGGCTTTGGGAATCAATCAGTCAAGGAAGGCTATAAATTAGGAGGCTCTTACAGTAATTAAAGATGACCTGAAATTGAGTGGTAGTCTTAAGATTGGAAAACTATGGATATGCCCCCCTTTAAATATATAATACCCTATGATAAATGGACCATATTTATTAAGACAAATGGGAACAGTTCATATAAAGTTATTGACTTTGATTCTGACATTTCACAATTTAAAATTAGGTACACAAAAATCGGGTCTTCCATAATAGCGACAAATTTACAAAACTAGGATCCTATACAAAATAGCTGATATTTCAAATTAGTACAATGCAGATTTTAAAAATTCCTGTTTACTTTTAATCTTGGAAGGAATCTTTGGAGTTAGAAGTCAAAATATGGACAAGGTTGACTTACACGGTTCATATCTTTCAGATAATACTAGTATTTAGCAACACACACCTGACAATCTCAATCTTGAAAATAAATATTTCCCAGCATGCTTTAAGAGGAGGCAAATTCTCTTTACAAATTCTACAACAGGTAGAAATGAGGTCAAGAATGAGGCCAAGTAGGCTAGAAATATGGGTCACAGAAATATCAGCAGGTGCTCATAACAGTCCTGGTTTCTTGATTTTACAGATGTATTGGTTTCAAGACTGGTTTCAAGCCCACACAACATATCCATAAGTTATGGGACCATAAAGAGACCTAGGGAGATTAGGATTTTTTTTAGGGGCTGGAGTTGTCCCCACTAGGTTTCAGAGAGTCCATAGACTTGCCTAAACTTTACTCCAGAGTAAATTCCCCACGGCTGGAAAAACTTTTCTGGTTCTTCAAGGTTGAGAGCGGGTCAGGGTCATTAAGATTAATTTCTAGGGGAAGTCCATTATTATATATGTTTTTTAATCCCTTTACTAAATACTGGAAGACAAACTCACATTTCCTTAGTGATGGTGTATGCCAAGGACTCTACAAACCTCCACCTGTAAGATGGCTTTCACTTTTTAGTATGAACATTTCATACTTACATAAAAGTAGAGATTTTTAAAAAACTCCCATGTACCCTTCACTCAGTTTGACCACCATCAACCTAACCACCTCCATCCCCCCTCTCTCTCCATCCTTTCTTTGTTGGACTGTTTTAAGACAACTTCTAGACCTCATGTATCCTCAACTCTAAATGCTTCAGTGTGCATCTAAATATATACAAATGTGTATTTTTTTCTCATGTAGCCACAATGTCACCTATAAGGTACTTTAACCCCAATTATTGGTGAAAAAATGAAATCTCTGGGAGGCTAACAACTTTCCTACAGGTCACAAGGCAAATAAATGAGTCAGTCAGGAAGTGTTCTAAATTATAAACTGTCATGTTCTTTCACATCAACATGCTATTTCCCATTTCTCTGTTACTAGACCAGTGAATAAACATTTGTCCCAAAGGAAAAACATGCTTAGATGCAGACTAAAACTGGAATAGCCCATCTCTTACACATTAATTTTTCATATGGCCCTAAGTAAAAAGTGTTTCCATAATTATACAGATTAAACCACCTGTACAGTGTGCTTAAAAATTTTTATATAAGTAGAAACCCATCAAGTCATATATATATTATATATATAATATATATGCATACATATTATATATGTATATGTATACACATGATATATATATATATACATATATGTGTATGTGTGTGTATATATGTATATATACATACATATATATTTTTTAGAGAGAGTGCATGAGCAGAGGAGGGGAGTGGCAGAGGGAGAGAGATACTCTCAAGCAGCCTCCACCCCCAGCACGGAGCCTGACATGAGGCTCGATCGCATGACCCTGACATCATGACATGAGCCGAAACCAAGAGTCAGATGCTTAATCGACTGAACCACCCAGGTGCCCCAGCTCGTATTTTGCCACTAATTTCATCTATAAATTCATGAAATCTGTTCTATGTAAATATTTCATTCCCTAAATGTAAAAGTGTTCACACAAAGTACTTAATATTAATTTCAGACTTTTTTTGTCCAAGTAATTTATATGGCTGTGGTTGTCCCATAAAACCCCATGAGAAATCAATCAAAAGGCTAATCAGTGACTTGATCTCAGCATTTTCAGTGAAAGCACATCTTTGGGCGCCTTCTGAGATCAGGATATTTCTGAAGTTGGTCTGGTCATACCATCGTAAGAGCCAGGTGGTTACACGTGGCACATGGTGCATTTTCCTATAGAGTCAATTTTACTTAGCAGTAGTAATTTTGTATTTTTTAAAAAAACGTGTATTATTCAGTAGAATGTAAAATTTATAGGAATTTAAAAGCTAAAACCCAAGTTTTTCAGTAAAGTTCTTGCAACAGGTTGATTTTAGGGTTGTGGTCCTAGATTTTTCTTTCTTCTTTTAAAGATATTTTGGAGGGTAAGTTTAAGAAGGACTGTGAGTTGAAGAGTAAAATGATGAAAATCAAACAGGGCAAGGACAGTTAGCTAGGAGGGAGATAAGAGGCAGGAGACCAGGGAAAAGGGCAAACCTGGGCTGGAATATGGTGGGTAAGAGAAAAGAACAGATCAATTCCTAGGTATGCACCTGGGTGACTGTGAGAGGCCAACTCTTATGTATCAGGCAAGTAGAATGAAGGGAAATCACCAGCTGGGGATGGTAAGGGGGATGCTGGGTTTTAGGGCTTGAGAGCAAAAGAAGAAATGGAATAGGCTATCTTGAGGTCAATTAATGAACAATAATGGAAGGCCTAGGAGCTGGTCTCACGTTAGACAACAGCAATTTATAGTAGAATCTACCTGCTGTTACATGACCTTTAGCAGGAACGCTCAAGAGCTCTGGAAAATAATGAGTTTGCTTTTTCCAAGGTCGGGAAGTTAGGGGATAAAAATAAATGCGTCCATGAATAGTAAGACAGAGATCTCTGAAGCTCTGGGTAATATGTGGTTGCTATCTTGGAGTGGCACTACCTCTTTAAGAAAAAAACCCTGAAACTCCAAGCCCTCTTCCAAAAACTGTTGGGAGGCTTCATTGGGATTTAAGTACCCAATAGTTAAATAGCCATTAAAAGATTTATTAGATATTCAATTTAACTGACCCCAGGGATGTCCTTCAATTTCACTCAACATCTGCAGTTTCTTTGAACTCTACTTTTTTTTTTTTTTTTGGCTCTCCAAAAATGCTGATCTGTATAAAAGATGCATAAATCAAAGTGATGTTTTAATTCGCTAAGTGCCTAAAGGGAAGGTGCACTAAGAAAATACATTGAATGAGCAGCTGATTTGTAATGGTGTTTGTTACCACAGCTGTACGTGCCATGGAACACAGCGGACACCAGAGACCAGCCTGTAGCAGCGGCAGGAATCGATCCTGACGGTGCAGGAAAGAAACTAACAAAGTACATGGCTCACCTCTAATTTCTGGTTCAAGTTGCTCAGTTCAAAGGGTGTTTCTTCTTTGAGGTGCGGTAACTCCTTTCGCCGAACTTTACTTTGTTTCATCTGGTGTAGTCTCAGTTTCTCAAAGCTATTCGTCAGTTTGGAAAACTGGAAGTAAGAAAGAATGCTACGTCTCACTGTGACTGGCTTTTCTTTTCTTTTTTTTTTTTAATAGTTTTTTTTTTTTAAGATTTTATTTATTTATTTGACAGATAGACAGAGATCATAAGTAGGCAGAGAGGCAGGCAGAGAGAGAGGGAGGAAGCAGGCTCCCTGCTGAGCAGAGAGCTTGATGTAGGGTTCAATCCTAGGACCCTGGAATCATGACCTGAGCCGAAGACAAAGGCTTTAACCCACTGAGCCACACAGGCACCCCGTGACTGGCTTTTCTGACTTGAATTCACAAGAGTTCTTTTCTTGGGCACGTCTTTGATGATTTAAGTCATGATTGGAAAAATGCAGTAATGCTTAAATCTTCTGATTTGTGAAGACAGGACCAGTTATTAAAACTAAATTATTGGAGCTGAACACCATTCGGTTTTCATGTGAATTTGGGGCTTCATCAGCTGCACAGTTAAATGAGCCACTCATTTAACAAAACATAAATGTTTTGTTTAGCTTTGTTTTGACCATATGTAGCAAAGCTTACAAGTTTTAAAAACCAAGTTTTTTCTTTTATTTAGTGCCATCTTGTGTTGACAATTTTAATTTCAGTAACCCTTTCTATAAAATAACAAGTGTATATTTTATTCAAGAAACTGAATACTGAATTTATAAGCTACAAACAGCATAAACTACTTATTCATGTTGATATAAGTTTAAATAAATTTAAGTATCAAATTGATACAATCTTTTTCTTAGCAATAATTCTTTTAACTTAGACTGTACTATTTTTTCTGTTTTTTGTTATACCTTCAATAATAGATTAGAAGCAGCATGATCCATCAACATCTGTGAAGAAATTTCTAGATAACTATTTATAAAAGTTTTTTGGTTTTATTTTGAATTTTGAAATAATTATACAGTTTAATTATACGGTATAATATTAAGCCAGGAAACGACATTGGTACAATAGATGTGTATAATTTTATGCTATCTTATCACCTGTGTATATTTGTGTGACCACAACCACAATCAAGATACAGAACCATTCCAACAGCACAGAGACCTCCCTGCCTTTGTAGTGATACTCAGACCTCTCATCTTCCCACCCCTAAGCCCTGGCAACCACTAATTTATTTCTATATCTGTAATTTTGTCATTTGAGAATGCTATAAAATGGAATCAAATAGTATATGACATTTTGAGATTGGGTTTTTTTAGTCCCCATAATGCCCAGAAGATGCATGCTTGTATCAATAGTTTATTCCTTTTTATTGTTGTCTTATTCCATGGTATGGAGGGAACTGCTTGACCATTCATTTTGGTTATTTCCAATTTTGGCTCCCACAAATAAAGTTATGAACGGTCGCATCTACTTTTTCTGATATTAATATAGTCACTTGTTTTCTTTATCTCATATCATTTTTAAAATTGAAATATAATTCACCTGCCATAAAAATCACCTTTTAAAAATAAAATTCATTGGTTTTTAGTATACTCCATAATTGTGCAATGATCAGATTACCTGATTTCAGAATATTTTCATTACCACAAAAAGAAGCCCCAGAATGTTAAAATGGTTATACATTTCCTCCTACCCCCAATCCCTAGAAACTACTAATCTGCTTTCTGTCTCTATAGATTTGCCTATTCTGATCAGTTCACATTAGTGGAATCATACATTATGTGGTATTTTGTGTCTGGCTTCTTTCACTTTACGCTTTCAAGGTTCATCTGTGTTGTAGCATGGATCAATACTGAATAGTATTCTATTGCATGGATATGCCATATTTGGTTTTACTATTCATCAATCGATGGACTTTGGATTCTTTCTAGTTTTTGCATATTACAAATAAAGCTGCTATGAGCACTTGTGTACAAGTTTCTGTGTGGATACATATATTTATTTCTCTTGGGTACATAACTAGGAGTGGAATTGCTATCTTACGGAAACTCTGAGTTTAACTTTTTAAGGCACTACTGAACTACTTTCCAAGTGGCTGCACCATTTCCCAGTATTACTGAGAACATACAGGGTTCTAATTTCTCCATATCCTCACTAACATTTGCTATTGTCCATCTTTTTGATTATAGCCATTCTGGCCAGGGTGAATGGGTATCTCACAATTTGATATGCATTTCCTCAATGACTCATGATGTTGAGCATTTTTTCATATGCTTATTGGATACTTGTACAGCTTCTCTTAAAAAATGTCTATTCATATCTTTGCCCATTTTAAAGTTAGGTCATTTACTTTTTATTATTGACTAGTATGAGTTTTTTTTTTTTTTCCAGACACTAGTCCTTTATCAGATATATCATTTGTAAATATTTTCTCCCACTTTGTGAGCTGTCTCTTCATTTTCTTGATGGTGTCCTTTGAAGCACAGAGGTGGTTTAATTTTAGTGAAGTTAAATTCATCTGATTTTTCTTGTGCTTTTGGTGCCAAATCTAAGAAATCATTGCCTAACCCAAAGTCATGAAGAGCTACTCTGTGTTTTTTCTAAGAGCTTTATAGATTAAGGTTGTTTTTTTTTTTTTAAAGATTTTATTTATTTATCTGACAGACAGAGATCACAAGTAGGCTGAGAGGCAGGCAGAGAAAGAGAGAGGTGGAAGCAGGCTCCCCACTGAGCAGAGAGCCCGATGCGGGGCTCGATCCCAGGACCCTGGGATCATGACCCGAGCCGAAGGCAGAGGCTTTAATCCACTGAGCCACCCAGGCGCCCCTATAGATTAAGTTTTTACAGTTAGGTCTTTAATCCATTTTGAGTTCATTTTTGTTTATGGTTTAGGTCTAACTTAGTTCTTTTACATGTGGATATTCAGTTGTGCCTTTATGTTTGTTGAAAAGACTCTTCTTTCTCCACAGAACTATCCTGGCACCGCTTCTGCTCTGATTAGTATTTGCATGGTATTTTTTTCTACCTTTTAATTTCAAATTACCTTTGTAGTTATGTCTGAAGTGAGTTTCTGGAACAGAACATACTGTGAGATCATATTTTCTTAATTTACTCTGTCAATCTCCATCTTTTAACTGATGTATTTAGACACTTCCCATTTAATGTAATTATTGATATATTAGAGCTTAAGCCTTACTCTTGTTGTTCTTTTCTGTTTTCCAGTTTTTGGTTTCTCTATTTTAGCTTTTCTGTTTTCTTCAGGGTTATTTGAGCATTATTTATAATTCTTTCTTGGTTTACCTATAGGGTATTTGAATATTATCTATTTGAATAGCTTTCTCAATTGGTGATCTAGGTATTACATTATATATACAGAAGTCATTACAGTCTACTGGTGTCAACATCTTACCAGTTCAAGTGAAATGCAGAAGTTTTACTTTTTTTTTATGTCTCTCTTTGCCCTGACCCATTTGTAACATAATTGTCTTAAGTATTCCTTCAACATACATTAAGAACTGCATTAGACATTGTTATAATTTTTGCTTTATCTGTCAAACAATTCAAAGAGAAGGAAAGTATTGCATTAATCCATTTTTAAAAACTCTTTCCATTGTTTTTTCTTCCTTCCTGATATCTCAAGATTCTTTCTTTGTCATTTCCTTCCTGCTAAAGGAACTTTCTTTAGCCATTCTTTGAAGGTAGGTTTATTAGTGACAAATTCTCTTAGTTATCCTTCATTTGAGAAGGACTTGATTTCTCCTTCATTCCTAAGGATATTTTTTCTAGGCATAGAATTCTGGGTTGACATTTATGTTCTTTCAGCAACTGAAAAATGTCCCACATTCTCTGGCCTCCATGGTTTCTGATGAGAAATCTGTTATCTGAATTGATTCTTCCCTATAGGTAAGGTGTTATTTCTCTCTTCTGCTTCCAAGATTTTTTTTCTTTGTCTGTTGGTTTTGAGAACTTTGCCTACAATGTGTCTCGGTCTTGGTTTCTCTGTATTTATCTTGTTTGACTTTCACCCAGATTCTTGAATCTGTAGGTTTATATCTTTTACCAAGTTTTGACACTTTTCACCTGTATTTCTTTGAATACTTTCTCAGTCCCACTCTCCTCTCCCTTCTGGGACTCTATGACACAAATTTCCAATCTTTTGTTATAGTCCTACATGTCCCTTAGCTTCATTTTCTTTTAGTCTGTTTTCTCTCTGTTGTTCAGATAGGTTAATTTTCATTCCATTATCTTTAAGCTCACTGACTATTTCCTCCGTCCTCTTCATCCTACTTTTGAGTACATCCACTGAATTCTTTTAGTTTGGCTATTTCATTTTCCAGAGGTAAAATTTCTAACTGGCTGTTTATTATAGTTTTGTTTCTTTGCTAAAACTTTCATTTGTTTCAGGTGTGTTTGTAATTGCTCGCTGAAGCATTTTTATAGCAGCTGCTTTAAAATCCTTGTCAGATAATTCTAACATCTGTATTCACTCAGTGTTGCCATCTCTTGGTTGTCTTTTCTCATTCAAGTTGAGATCTTCCTGGTTCCTGGTGTGATGGGTGGTTTTTTTAATTGAAACTTGGACATTTTGGGTATTGTGCTATGAGACACTAGATTTTCTTTAGGGATTGTGTTTCAGCCATCCTTTTCTGACAGCACTCTGGCAAGGAAAGGGAGACGCTGTCTCATCACTGCCAGGGGCCAGTGGGAGTTCAGCTCTTGGCCTCAGTCGGTAACCCAAGGGAGACGTTCCTTATCCCTGCTGAGTGGGAATGGGAGTTCAGAATCCCCACTAGTCTTCAATGATACCACCTTGACTGGAGGGGCATAGGTGCCTTATTATTGCCTCTCACCTGTCCTTCAGTGAAAGTGTAGTGAGGGCAAGTGGCCTCTTTACCACTGAGAGGTGGTAAACATCCTGACTCCTTATTAGGCTTCCCTTGATACCATTCAGAGAGGAGGGGGATTGACTCCTCACCACCAAATGGACATACTAGTCCAGGCTCTCCACATGGCCTCCACTAACACCTTGGGTTGCGGAAGGCCTTGCCAACGCTTACTGGTTACGAGATTCCTGGCTCTCCACTCCAGTCTTCTCTCATACCACCCAGGCTCAGGAGCCTGGACTACCTCATTACAAGCTGATAAGAAAGAGGCTGTCTACACAGTCTGTGCTGAGCTGGGGGTGGGTTTGGGGCTGAAGTATTTTTTCTGTGGTGTTTGGCTGGAGTAGAACAGTTATTATCTAAAAGTGTGTAATCTTGCTAAGCGGTCTTTTTCTGGGTCTTTTGGCTGCAGAAAGTAGGCATTCCTTGGGATTGTTTTTGTTTGTGCCTGGGTTGTCAACTTCTCCATTCCCCAGCATGGGATATAAGAGGCAAAGAGAAATCCCAGGGAACTCACCACTATGTCACTCCTTGGGTACCAAGGTTTTAGTTGGCCTGTCTCTCCCTCCACTTCTCAGAGTTTTCTCATATATTGTATATATATATATATATATATATATATATATATATACACACAATTTAATCATAGTTTCATAATGGATAGAAGGAAAAGAAAATATTCTCTTTTTAAAAAGAAGCAGTTTCTATAAGAAAGTTTTGATAGAGTTATTCAAAGAAGAGTATGGTAAAGTGTTGGGGTTGATTCCACGTTAAAACATGTTAACCCCCTAGGGCCTGCCTGGGCCTACTTAGCCATAGTGACTCCATGTTGCCTAGGTAGACATTTTGTTGTTTAATAAATGCCTCAACAGTTATTGATATCAGTTCCAGGTAACTATTACTAAAACACATACCTAAAACAAGGCCATTTTGTTGTTTAATAAGCACCTCAACAGTTACTAGTATCAGTTCCAGGTAACCGTTACTAAAACACACAGGTAGGAGACATCCAATCAGCCAAAGCCACATATGTAGATGCCTGCGATTGTGCCCTATAAAAACTAGCCTGTAAGACCAAGGGGCGTCGCTCTCTTAGGAGTAGGCCCTGGCCAGTCAGTCTGACTTCTAATGCTTGGCATAGAATAAAGCTTTACTTAACTTCCACTTTGTCTCAGCCTCATTTCCCTGGCCGGTCAGTCTAACTTCTAATGCTTGGCATAGAATAAGGCTTTGCGTAACTTTGTCTCAGTCTCGTTCCTTTGATAACGGACCCAACAAAAGTATATCCTTAAAATATTTTAGGAAAATGAAATTGTAGATAAACCAGGAATTTCAAAGAAGGAATCAGTAGAGTGAGCTAGCAGCAACCAAAGCATGTTTGCTACAAGATAGCATTTTCTAGTTAGAAGAGTGACATATTACGAGCTATTATGCAAACCAGTTCTCTCTTTTTCCCTCTTTCCTTCTCTGCTGCTCTTCTCTTTAATGCTTTTCTTTCTTTTAACATGAGAAGAAAAGAAGAGCAGAAAACTGTAGTGGAAGCAGATGGCTGCTCTTTCAAGAACAATGTAGTTTTTCCAAAATGTATCTATGAAACACCTGTTTACAGTGTTTACACTGTAATAGTGTACTACAGGATAAGCCGGTTTTAGCTTAAAAAATAGAGTTCCATGATCAAATATGTTTTGAAAAATGAAGGATTAAAAAGGTTAAAAGGATTTGTTTGAAACAGGAATTTGCACAGCCTGTCATATGCTAGCAGGCACTGTGAATGCCCAGGAGCCAAGAAGAAGTAAACAGCGTTTCCTAAAACTTTCAATATTAGCATTCCACAGAACACAATTTTGTGAAATTGCTATCAGGGTATTTGTTGGTTAGCCAGCAGCCAAGTAATAAAACAAAGCTGCAAAGCAACAAACGGCAGGGATTCATGTATTACATGACCACTCAGCACCTGTAAACAAGCCTTACAACTTTTTAACAATGGATGTGAAAAAAACCCCAGAGATTAAATATCTGGTAAGCAGTGACTGAACTAATGAGATATAATTTTGAGATGGTATATCACTTGTATCTCCATTTCTTTATTTTTTTTAAAACTTATTCCAGATCGTGTTTATACTGAACAAATACAGTGATTTAATATATATGTTGGTATTTCAGAGCTTTATCATTACAGGAAAAACAAGGTTGATTGAGTTAAGTGTTAAATGCTTAGTCTTAGAAAAACCATTTAGTTTTGTAATTCAAGCTATCATCTAGTGGCAGCTCTTTGAATTGCAGGAAAAATGTCTAAATTTACGAGCTAGCCAGTCTTTTAAGATTATGTTAAGCGGTATCAAATGTTTCATATCCAATCTTAAGAGCTGATGACTTCCCTAAGAAGGTACTTAAGAAAGAATTAACTACTTCAAGCTCATTTAATTGTATTATCACTTGTGAAATCTTTGCACTTCATAAATTTCATGATCAAACTGTTATTTCCCATTGATTCATTTATTAAGTTAAGCAAGGACAAGAGCAGCTACTAGATCTAAGATGCACAGATAATGATTGCCCTATGCATTATTTGTGGTAAGGGAGAGAAGATTTTTGGCTTGCTAGCACAGTGAGGAAGTAGAGGAATAAATAACAAAGAAATCAGTATCCCTATTCAGAAAACCTATAGCCCTACCAGTATCTAAGTACCAAAGACCAGTTTTTTTCTTTTCAATTTTCTGTTTCATAATAGCAAAGTCATTTTTGTTGTTCACATTGTTAGCTATTATCATGTAATTAATCAACAAGTCATCTGATAAACAGAAAGGTAATAGTCTTGCACTATGCTAACAGTTAAAGGGATAAAGAGCTGACAGTCTAATAAAAGAAACAATCTAATAAAACAATGAAAGACACAGTCAAACATATAACCCGTCATTAAATATAAAAACTTTACTTGTATTAAAAATAGTCCATTTTAATAAAATCAATACAACTTATAAATACATAAATTTGATATAATTTTATATGTGAAAACATGTATCAAAATGTGTTAAATCATCAAAGGAGATTAAATTACATTGTTTCCTTACTTGAGCTTTTAGGGTTTGCAGTTGTCCTTCATAATTTTGCGTCATTGCTAAGTTACATTTTTCCAGACTGTCCAGCTTCTGCCTAAGTAAGCCCACCTGCAGCAAGAACAAAACTTAATTTGATTTTTTTCTAAATTTTGCCTGATGAAAGCAGAAAATATGCAAAGGAGGAGCATGCTTTAAGTAAAACTGCTGTCCCCAAACAAGAATAAATATTTGAACTGCAGTTCTTAAAATAGCTATTAATAATGAAAGTCACAAAACCCCACATTGCTGGCGCTATTCCACTGGGTACACATAAGAACGGGGCGGTATGGATGTCTGACAAAAGATCCGTGTCACCATCACATCTGAAATTAAGGTTTAGAATTTACTTTGCATTATTTTTTCAGGAGGCCATGTCACCATCACTCAGGCAGAGCCTCTGCGGATGCAGTTCTGTTTTTATTTGGGGCACCACTGTCTTCAGTGGGTGCTTTGCTCCGGGGGCACCATGGAGTGCGGGCTGCATTTTTAGAAGAACATTTTAAAAAGAAAAGAATGATGTCTCAGCAGAGTTCCCAGGGGTTTGGCTTGCGGAATTGGCTGAAAACGCAGGGGAAGCACCTCTGTACCCATCTGGGTCATCACAGATATGGGAGCAAGAAAACAGTCTCTTGCATATTCTGGGCCTGATGACCTGCCTCTACCCTGAAGGGAAGCCAGATGCCAGTAACTAAATAACCCAGTTAACTATGTCAAGAGGTAAGTTCTACTGGGAGGCCAACAAAGGTAGAGAGATGGCTGAAGAACAAGTTGGCTGATGATGGTTTCGTATAAGATTAAAGTAAATACTTCTCTTAGGCCTCACCCAGAAGAAAAATTCACAGACACAAAAGTCCGCATTAGGTCAAGTACGTGATTTTCCAGAACTCGTCTGGAAGCCTGAGAGCACTCGTACATTCTACAGTCACCGATGTGCTGTAAGCAACCTTGTAGGGGTTGGGGGCACTCCTCTTAAGAGGGTGCCCACATATATCCACACACCCCCTTCACCTAACTCTGTTCTTCCCTGTCCCACAATCATGTGTTGACATTTCACTTCTTTGTGGAAATGTTCTCCTAGTAGATTTGAAGAGATGCTTGACTTAGCCATTTCCAAAGACAGAGTTTGGGCAACTAGCTTGTTTCTACAGTTGCAAAAGCACTGACATCTTTGCTTGCAAACAATATTTATTTCACATATATATATTAAATGTCTATTTACTTTTCTAGATGGCATTTTGTTTTTCTGCATCAGCAAATTTTTATGGGTTGAGGCTCCAATTGTCACTTATTTGATGGAACACATTTAGCACACTGTGACAGAATTCCAAGCAGTAAAGGCTACCGCTGATGCCTGATAAAAAGTATACATAATGAAAAACATACCCTGAAGAGAATAAATACTATTTATAACTGCCTGAGGAATTAACAACACATATATTCAGTACCTCTTGGCCTTTCTGATCCAAGCATGTTTGTGCATTTGCCAACTCTTGATCCCGAAGATCTAATCGTGTCTCCAAAGCCCGCATTTTCCTTTCCCAATCCAATTTTTTGTTGCTTACCATGATGTCAATTTGCTCCATTAATTCCTGAAGTTCGGCCTCACAAGGAGAAGCTCTGGCAATGGTTGAAAAGTGAAACACATTTTAAAAGAGGGAAATGTGAGGACAAGAAAAATTATTCCACGGCTCTGAATAGTGCTCTGATCATTATTTCCTCAAATTGTTCAATTACTTAAATAGGAAGAAGTCTGGAAGCCAGAGGTTAAATTTTAAACTAAAACTGAAAGCTGATTTCAGAGTAAACAGTGAATATACATTAATTTTTTTAAATGACATCTCCTAAATTATAGTTGCTATCCTAATATAATGCAATAATTGATAAAGATACTGCTTCTATTCTCTTCTTAGTATACGTGGTAGCACCTGGGTCTCCCAGAGCCAAAAGTTTTGACTTAGACAAGGAAGTCCTAAAATGAAAACACATGTGCAGATTATGTTATATCAGAAATAAGGTGACAATAAATGAAGTTAGCTGAAAAAAAATTAAATAATATAACAATTTTAGAGTGGACTGATTCTATGGAAAATTTGAATTATGAAAAAGGTCCAATGCTCTTCTATGTAAATGTACGAACATGTACCTATGTCTGTCATAGCTTGACTAAGTTTGGTGGCAGGCAAACTGGGACTCCAACCGTGCCTATCAGGGATAGAAGAGCAACCCCAGACTCGGAAGGGCCCGATTCAAGGGTACTAATTGGGTGACAGTACTCCTTCTCGAGGAGGGGAACGTAGTGTGATCTGGCTGGTGTCCCTTTGGAAGGAATCTGATCAGGCAGGTGTGGGCAGAATAATGTAAGTCTTTAGATAATGGGGATACTGTGAGTCGGATAAGGGGCAATATCTTGGTTCTCAGAGGGTCTATTTATAATTGAAACAAAACCCTTGCAATAGCTCAATTTATAGAGGTGCTAATTGTGAGGACAGATTGCTGTTGCTCCCAGGGCAGGGCTCTCCTTCAAAGACGATGACGTATTCCACAAGGGGCCTAGCATAAGTCCAGTTATTCAGACTGGATATGCAGGCAGATGGTGAAGCCTCAGATTTCAGCCCACAGAACACACACACATCCAGTATTAGAAAGCGAGTTATTTCAGTATCCATTCAATGGTGGTGACGGGGCTTCTAATGTATTTGTGTGGGTGGAAGGAAGGCAGGAGGAAAAGGCAGGCGAGAAATATCTCCTCCATTTAGTTTCACCAAATCAGAATTTTAGAGGTGATTAAGAATCATTTAGCATTCTGAAAAATGTCAGGCCCAGAGAGGTCAAGGTCACACAGTAATTAGTGGGAGACCCAGGTCAAGATCGTAGGCAGCTGCTTCCCATCTTCAGCTCCTTTCGGTGTACCACATAGCAAAAGACATGATGTTTTGAATTAAGAACTCACTTGAAAAATACAGCATAGATTAGTTCCATTGCAATAAGGTTAGGAAGAGGTATGAGAACCCAAAGAACTCAGAATTTCCAGGATCAATTTCTAAAATGCCCAGGCAACCTGAACGAAGGGTGTCCCTTTGATCAGCTTATTCACCAGTGGACTCAGCAGTTTTGACATCAGAGAGCTTCTAAGTACAAAGTGCCATTCTGAAGTCTTGTAGGATTTCTGGACTAAGGCCCAAAGGCTCTCCATTTTCACTTAAAACCTAAAAAAAATCTGAGGGAAAGGAAGTACTAATTCCTCTATAAATAAGCTGATCGAATTTTAATTGGAGTTACGAGATGGGGAAAACCAGCAGAACAAAAAGAATCGTTTTCACACCATTTTCTTTTCATAACATGTATCACCTTTACCATAAATATATTGTTTTTCTGCTACTGTAAGCTCTGAAAGGGCCATTTTATCACCATCTCACTGGAGCTCAGCACAGTGCTCCAGCACATAGCAGATACTCAATAAAATTTTGAAAAACGAACAAATGAGTCCTTTTCATCATTATTTACTCAGCATGTAGGAACGTACCATGCCAATGGAATTAAAATATAGGCCAAAAGTAGAGAGCGACATAATGGAAGCCACTCAGTCAATATTGTTAAATAAAGAAGCGAAGGTTTCTTTCCTGACTATGACTCTGCATGCAAAAATCAGGACTCAGCGTGGAAGGACTTTCACAAGTCACCTTGTCCAACTACCCACCCAGCGTGTGCACGTCTTTCACAATGTTTCGTATGAGAATCATCTATGATGCCCCGCTGATCAGATTCAGCAGGTCTAGAACAGAGGTTATTCTGCATCACTAACAAAGATATCAGGTGATCCTGGTGCATGCCAAGGCTTGTGATCTGTTTCACAGTATCACTGCCGAAAGGTCACCCAGCCTAGGTCTGAATTTCTCCTTTACCAGGTAACCGCTATCTGAGATTGTAGCTAGATAGCAATGAGTTTTAAGAAGTTCTTTCTTATTTTGAAGAGCTCTTTCAACCCCTGGTTCTAATTTGATAAATTAGGACCATGCAGAACAAGTGCCTTTTCAACACAGTAGACCTTTGAGTACTTGAATACAGTTATTAATATGTCAAATACATTATCTGTACCTCCAGATTCTTCCGGGTTTTCTCAGCGTTCAGTAGTAGATACTGAACATTCATACAGACAATGGCCAGAACACTTACCCACAACTTCTATAGCAATAGTCCTAGAATGGTCAGGACTCGGTCAATGACTGACAGCTTCCTTAATTTTTGCCCCCACTTCCAACTCAGGACCAACTGGAGAAAGCCAAATACAGTCCCCAAACTAATATATAGAATGCCCCCCTTCTACTAATCCTGCTTCCATCTTCCCTGTAACAACCTCCATCCAATGAAAGCATGCCCAAAGCCTTCTCTTTTGTTTACTATAAAGCTTTCCCACTGGCCTTCAAGTCTCTGCGAAATGTAAGCGATGTTTGCTGACTCCCTTGCAATAGCAAGCTTTGAATAAATAGGCTTCTTTTGTTCTCATTTGGGTGGTCTTTGTTTATGTCCACAAGTATCTTTATTTCCTCCAATTGCCCGTGGAAATTTCTTTTTTCTCCACCCCTCACTACCTAGTATACTGCCTGGAAAATACTAGACGCTTAAAATACCATTTGTTGAATGAATGAAAAAGTGAATGACTACGTTAAGATTTTCAGACCCTTTATAATCCTGGTGGCTCTCCACTGAACAAGTTCCTGTGTTGATTTCCTCCTTGAGATGTACCATTCAGAACTTTAACAGAACACCCCAGGTGCTGTCTAACCAGTTTAGGGAGGGGCTCTCACACCCTGTTTTTGGTGCTATGCGTTTTTATTCGAGCAGATAAAGATCACCTTAGCTTTGAATCTGGGAAGGGGAAGGGCAAAGCAGTGATATGATACCATTTCAAGGTGAGTTTATTCGTGTCCGAACACCTTTTTCACGTATGCTACAAACAAAGCCACTATCTTGTGCTTGTTTCATCTTGGGGGGTTGGGGGCTGCTCTAAGGGCAGAGCTTTATATTTATCCTTATTACATTTCATTGTGATAGTTTCAGCCTCTCAACGTGTGTTGTCATCACTGGTTCGTTAATGAAGCAAACAACCATTCAGGGACTGCTGCCCGCTGTGTGAGGAACTGGGAAGACAGAGACACATGACCTGTGCATAGAGACACCTGCAAGGCAGGGACAATATGAGACTGATGAATACGTGCAGCTCTTCGGGGACTAGAAAGCAAAGGTACTGAATACAAACTTGGACAAGACGGGTTACCACAGAAGCCTTCCTCAAGGAGCTTATTATGTTTTGGGATCCTGTTTCTGTCAGAAAATATATTCACTATAGCTCTCAGTTTTGTGTCATCTGCAGATCTGATAAGCAAAGCATTAGTTGTTTCATATATGAATACTTTTTCTTCCTACAAGTGACTGTAAAATATCACACTAGACAAGATGGAGGACAGGGCTCTCTGGCATTCCACTACCAACCCTGTCAGAGTGACAGGGATCTGGTGATTATTTCTTTTCTTATAATAAGTTTCTAATCCACTTATTTAAATTTATAATATTTTCTCTTTTTTCCCCCCTATAAAAATGTCATGAAAAGCCCTGTAAAATAATATGGCAAAGTCCAAGTAAGATTCTATCTATAAGCTCCCTGATGCACGGGTTTATCAGCCCCGTGAGCCCAGGCTGATCTAGTATGTGTTTGTGCTGAGTCCTGGGGCCACTGCTTCCTCCTCTGGATGCTCACAAGCCACCCATAATCCCTTCCAGAATCTTCCCGAAGACTTAGTCAAACTCAGATTTACATCCAGCTCAGCTTTCTGTCAAATTTAATATTCCTTTTTGAAATTCAATTGTCTAATCTACTAGTGTATCTTCCCTTCTTCAGTTTTTCAGGGATAATTAAGAGCAAGTTGGTCTCCACAGAATCAGTATTTGCTCCTAAATCTAAAGAACTTCAAAATGAAATACAAAAGGCTTAGTTTAGCCTTCTCCACAGAGCTGGGCCCTAACATTATTCATATTTTCATTTCTTCCTGTAGTCAAACACTGACTAACACTACGCTAATTACTTTCCTGTTCTTCTTCTTACAGATCCTCACAACATCCCATAAAGTAGGTCTTATTTTTCCAATTTTAGAAAAGTTGGTGGAGGCATTAAAAAAGAAAAAAGTCCTCTGAGTCTTCCAGCTTTAAGAAGTAGGTGGATTGTGGCTGATACACCACTGTAGACATACAAAACTTGGCCTGACTACTGGGTTTATCCCCAGGGGGTAATTCCCAAGAGAAGGATTGTGCGGTCAGGAGAGAGGTCTCAAACCAGAAGGAAGGGGACACACTGAGATTTGCAGGGTGATGTACCAGTCTGAGGGGCCTAGAGTCAAAATACGTGAAGAGAGCAAAATACAAAGCTGATGGTATAAATGGTGGTAGGTGGCCAGTGTATAGTGGGGACAGGAGAATGGAAAGTAGAGAGTCATTCAGAGTAAAAAGAGCTCGAGTAAGATACATGGACATGTAGGTTACTCCAAAGTCCTTTCATGTATGGGCTTACGTGCTGGTCCTTACAAAGGCAGACCTTCATCAGACAGACGACTATGGTGACCATGTTATCTATTATCCAAACCAGGACAATTTTGAAAGTGGAAGATGCACTCATGACAATTATGCCAGGACAAAGGTATAAAGCAGTGATTGTTCTAGGCCAAGGGGGATGTAGGGACAACCTGCCTACCCATCATCAATCTGGAAAATAGAAATGGAAAAAGAGGTCTGTAAAAACAAAGTGAGTTCATTTGGGGACTTAAGAGATGTCAGAATAGAAATGGACCCTGGGTTTGAGAGAGAGAAGATGGGGTTTGAAAAACAAACATGGAAGTCATTGTGGAGGAAGCAGAGGGATTGAGAAAGGAAAGCATAGGCTGAAGAGAAAGAGGAGACTATGTTCCGCAACATGGAAGAGTCTAAGAGAACGAGTCTCCAAAAGGTTGATGGGTAATATAAACCATCATATCAGGTCTTAACTTTTTCAAAATATTTTAATGAAACTCTTCTAAAATGAAGCAGTTATATTACTTAGTTATATTATTATTATATTATATATATATTATATATATTATTATATATTACTTAGTTATATTACTATATATTTAGTCATACCAATATAATTTAACTTTTCTGTGGTGGCTCATAGACCCTGTTCCGTATATCAAATACTGTACCACCCCAGAAACTTAAACAGAACCAAATGGGAGAGATTCCAGATGCCCCAGAACCCACTTTCATAGACATATCTGTGATGTCAGACTGCTCTATAGTTGACTGTCCCCCCCAAGACAGTAAAGCGAAAGGCTTACTACTTTATGACTCCTCCGTCACAATTTCACAGTTGCCCTCCTTCAAAATTGGCTACCAAATTATAGCTAAAAATAGCTTTTCTCTAGCACTTTTCTCATTGTCCAAAATATGCTATTTACTGTCATCACTAATGTGTGCTGACTTAACAGCATTACAACGCCTATCTTTACTGCATATTTAAGATGGTGGCTTATTCTCAGTCTATTCTTCTCCCTCATCTGTAATAAGCTTAATGTTGGAATGTGGAGGGGTAGAAATCCCAACATTCCCCAAAAGCATGCTTACATGTACTTACCAAGGCCTTATTCTAGAGCCTTCATCAAAATCATCAAAGAGAGACATTTACAGAAATAAAATGCAACGTGATAGCTTTCAAGTCCCTGTCAATGTTTTATCAGAATTCTAGATACACGGGCTCAGTGGGTTAAGTCTCTGCCTTTGGCTCAGGTCATGATCTCAGGGTCCTGGGATCGAGCCCCGCATCGGGCTCTCTCCTCAGCAGGGAGCCTGCTTCCCCCTCTCTCTCTGCCTGCCTCTCTGCCTACTTGTGATCTTTCTCTGTCAAATAAGTAAATAAAATCCTTAAAAAAAAGAATTCTAGATACATACAAATTTAATATCTAACAGTTTTTATGTTCTAAAAAGAGTGGAAGATCTTGTAAATACCTGTATTACAGTTAAACTTTTTCTAAAAACTTTTTCTATAATGACTATTCCTCTTCTGAGTAACATCTTGGCTCACACACTGAATGATAGAAGAGGATAGTTGAAATATTAGCAAACACCAAACCTCTTTCTGCAGGTGATTTTTATAATTACTTAAAAATACAAATAACCAAACAGTCCCCATAAACTTATATATCTGACATATTTCATATTAATATGGAGAACCATGGTATGATTAATAATAAACCATATATAGGTTAGCTTGGATTCTATAAGCCAATCTCTAGGACAATTAAAACTCCCTCTTGCTAAAAGGTCTATCTGATGAAAGACTGCAGTGGTAGTACAAAGGAGGATAGCCACTTAACCCCTTTTTATTTAAAACTAGAGCCAGCTAGTTCACTGGATCCTAACAGCAAAGAATTAGCTAAACAGTGATAAAGTCTATTTTTCCAATATTAGGAAAATAGAAAAGATGCTGTTTCCTGAATGTTGGAAATGAACCATCTAATGCCTGCTTATTCTTATAACTTTCAAATCTCTCTCTGCAGCCAGAGCTCTGAGCTCCAGACTTCAATATCCAACTACCATTCCACATCAACATTCTTGCAAGACGTCTATAGGCACCTCAAACTTCTCATATTCAAAACAACACTTGAACCCCCTCACCACAGACCTGCTCCCACTCCAGTCCACTCTGTCTCTGTCTCTCTCTCTCTTTTTTTTTTTTTTTTTGGTGCTTTAGCATTTATTTATTTATTTTTAAATTTTTTATTTCTTTTCAGCATAACAGTATTCATTGTTTTTGCACTACACCCAGTGCTCCATACAATCCGTGCCCTCCCTAATACCCACCACTCTGTCTCTTTAATTGGCATTACAGCTATAGCGGCTCAAGATCCAAACCCTCATGACCTGAGATTCGTGTTTCCTCAAACCCCAGAATAACAGGTCTATCGGCATTGCCTCCAATATATACCCTAAATTCTGATCACTTCTCACTCTGTCCAGTGGTAAGAACTTGGTCTGAGTCATCCTTATCACTTGTCTGATTCCATTCTTATCTCCCACTTGGATAGGTGCCTGCACCCAACATCCACCCTTCCTTTCTTCCATAACAGATCTCCAGTGTTACTCAGAGTGGAAACGTATCCAGCTAAAAGTACAACTACATTGGCCAGTCTCTCCTGGAGGTAGGCATGGCCATGCAACAAAATCTGGCCTGTGAGAGGTAATAGCCATGAAGCTATTTAGAAGAGAGCTAGGGTGGTGGTTCTTGGTGCCTATGCATCGCTCATACTTTCCACTTGGGGGCACTCAGCCTGATTTCCAGGGGACAGAACCTGCATTTCTTTGCTTGAGTCCGTCTTCTTGCCACTGGGGTCCTCTGTGCCACCTGTGTGATAGGCCAGAGGTAACAGGAAATTGAAGCCCTCCCAGAAGCAATCTTCAACCAGTGAATGTCAGTTATTGGTATGTAAATACTCACTTCTCCCTGGATGGGATATCTCTAAGGGCTGTGCTCTAGACTGGGCTCTAGACTGGGTTCCAGAATCTCCCCAGTAGGTTTTGCTTCAGTCACTCTCAGTGATAACCGGTTTCATAACTTGCTCTTTCTTATTTCACTTCTCTGTCCCTATAGGTGGTAGGCCGAAACACGATACCCAAAGATATCACATCTGAAAGTCTGCAATAAATAAATAAATGCTACTTTATTTAGAAGAAAGGTCTTGGCATAAGTTGATGATCTTGAGTTGGGAGATTATCCTAGATCATCTGGGTGTGCCCTAAGAAAGAGGCAGGGGAAGATGGGACACACACAGGAGAAGAGATATGGAGATGAACCAGAGAGGGGCGTGAAGATGCTGGCTTGAAAGGTCAGAGATGTGGCCAGGAGCCAAGGAATGCTGACAGCCACCAGAATCCAGAAGAGGCAAGGAATGGACTCTTCCCCAGAACATCTGGAGAATGGATGCAGCCCTCCAGATGCCTTGATATTGACCCAGGGATACTGACTTTGGGCTTCTGGACTCCAGAACTGTGAGTGAGTCCATTTTGGTTGTTTTACACCACATTTTTACACCACATTTGTCATACAGCAGTCAGAGGAAACTAATACACCACATTTTTCATCTCTCAAAGAAACCACCTGCATCCAAATCCTTGTTTCTTGGGGCTTTGGCTTCTGGAAGAAGCCAAAATAAAACGCTGGTGTGTGCTCTTCTGTTTTTACCCTATTGCCCTTGCTCTTTTCCCACTCTGGAAGGAGATGTAATGGTTGAGGTGGGTAGCCATCTTGTGGCCATAAGGGAACCACAAACAAAAAAGCCCCACCCCGAGGGTGGGGAAGCAGAAAGCTACACAGAGACTTGTATACACAGCTAATTATTTCGTATCTTCAGCTGGATGTGTAACAGGTGTCTCAAACCAAGCTTGCATTTTCTCTAGTCTCTCTGGTTTTAATAAATGACAGTCTTATCCTTCCGGATGGTGTGAAGAGTCTTGCATCATCCTTTGCCCATCTCTCTCTTGCACACCACATATCCAATCCACGATCTCTAAATATTGTCAGCACTTCTGTCAAAATGTACCCATTTGTTTCTATTTCTACCTTTACCAACCTGATCCAAATCACTCATCTCCCACCCGAATTACTACAATGGCTTCGCTTGTCTATCCGTCCTGCTCTTGCCATGCTGTGGTCTCTTCTCCACAGAGTAACCAGAGTAAGCCTTTTAAAACACTAAGTCAGAGAATGTCACTGCTTTGCTCCATGCCCTCCAGTGACTTCCCATTTTAAATGGCCCCTGTGCCTAACCTGTGGTGTAGGTGCCTGGGCTTACACATATCATTTGTAATTTGTAACTACTGCAATTAACCTCACATAAAAATTGTCCTGGAAAAAGTTTATGCAAATGTTTCCTTCATGGTGGCGTTTTGAATCTTTGCCTAAACTCAGTAGCAGCTCAGTTGTCTCTCAAAGGAATCTTTCCCTTCCTTTGTTTCCTTCCCAGCTCTCTCCCTCCCTTCTCCCAACCCCCACTCCCTCCATTCCCAGTTTCTTCCTCCTTTTCAACACCACTAAGTGAATTCCTATAAGCACTAAG